GATTAACTGCTAATACTTATGAATTATGTGCTTGGTTCTTCATTCAAATTGTTACCATATTTTGCCATTAGGGATGTCCCTGCTTATAAGCAACTTACAGAAGCAGATGCAAGGCTGCCTACATACCTGAATTCTAGCTTACTGGATATCATGCCTTGCCAGGAGGGCAGGCCCTTCCTTGTGGTGGTGTTTTAAAGTGCTGAGTCATCCTCATTCTAAATAGCCAAGTTATATCAACAAAGGCCTAATGGCTTGGTCTCAGTCATTATGCCTACAGCTGGCACTGTCTTTGGTCTCCGACATACTTTTTGTTAATGCTAACTGGCCTGTCTGTATTTGAAAGACTTTAGCTATATGTGTGACTTGCTCTATTAGTGTTTTCTATTCTGAAATCTTTATAGTTAAGATTTCAAACAAGATTTCTGTAAAACTGAGGAAAATTGCCTTACACAAGCCTAATTAATTCTGTAGATGACTGGTTCCTTTAGATAAAACTAGCTACCAGTTATTTCCAAGCACTCTGTTAAAGAGAGAACTCTCTTTCGTAGAACTAGTGCATTTTTGACTGATCTGTACTGAAGAAAGGGAACCCTTAAGCCCTTTTTAAAAAAAATAAATAAATTTTATTAAAGTACTTTGCATCTACAAACAAAAATACCCTTTTGGATCTACAAGTGATTATCCAGTGGCTTTATTAAATCATTTCTGAAACTTGTTCACTACAGTGAAGATGCAAATGAGATGAAACTGGGGCACAGACCAGAGCAGTCTCCTCCTATTGTCTCAGGATGCTTCAGTAGTCTGGAATGTACTCCCAGGAAATTGAGAACTGAGTTGGAAATAATAATCTCTGCTGAATGGCTTGAGTGTTGTGGATGCAGCATGTGACTTGTGAAGAAGAGTGAGAATGTGCTGTGGTTTCTCCTACTTGTCTAAAATGCAGGCTAGCATTGCTTGAAGAGGCATATGCACTGTGAGCCTGTAGGCAGTGAGAACTGTTGCAGGCACCATTATTCCCTAACCCAGCTCATTGCATGGCAGCATAAATCTATGTTAGCATGGTATAGAAATGAATGGGCAGAGGATCCTGCATTGTTACTGTTGGTAGCGGTCTGTTCAAGCAAAGTCTGAATGTAAGGTTCCACAGCTGCTTTATTTTTATATGAACGGATGCTGCTGCTAAAAAGGCTGGAGGTCTTTCCCCTCTATTCCTCCTACACAAGAACCATGTGCTGTTGATCCAACTCACTGTACAGCTTCATGAACAACTATCCTAGCACGAGGGAGTAGATGAAAATGTGGTTCTTTTCACTTAGCATCCTCACAACAATGATGGAGACTGTGGAACTCCTCCCAAGCTAAGTAATATTTTTTCACCTACCCACTGGAGCACTCTGGAAATGCCTGCTCCATAAAAAAAAATAATTAACAATCTTACAGGGTTATTTTGACAAAAATAGACCCTGATGTTTGAGACATTTGAGAGCTTCATTCTTCTGAGGAAAAGCAAACAGGTAAGTATGCTTGTAAAATCTTCTTGTAGTGATTTCATGTTAGACACTCACAGTTACAAACTGACACATTCAAAATACCTACACTTAAAGCTTAGTGGACTGCCTGCCTAGAATTAGGTTCTCCCATAGCGCGAATCTTAGAGAGATGGAAGGAGAAACAGTTTCAAGCCTCACTTCATTCTTGATAGACAAATATTTTCTTCATTTTATGCCTTTGAATGAAAGGTACTTATGTAACTATTGGTTATTAAAAGAGAGCAAGCTATACAATTCCTGTTAGGATTCTTAAATTTGAAATTGTAACCCCATATAAAATGGGACTTCTCTCAGTGAAAGGCATTTTAACACGTATTATCCCTTGCAGTGTTGACCTTTTGAAGATTCAGTAGGTGCTGAGACTAACTGTACGTATCTAACAAGACATGGTTGTTTTGGGTTTTTTTTTGTGGTCTCCACTCCTCAGGTGTTTTTCCTTTTTTGATTTATATCCACTAAACCTTGCAATGCTTCAGGCCCAAACACAATGAAATTTTCAGTTACGTTACAGATGAGTCTTGTGAGCTTTTCTTGATTCTCTTTTCCTCTGCAGCAGTCCCATTGTGGTGGGCACTACAGGACTGGAAGTAGTAGGTTGCATTTGATGTGAATAATACTGGTGGTGGTTAGAACCAGAAAACAGCATTCTTGTTACCACTATAGAAAATGAGATTCTATAGTAGTGAATATTCTAAATTGAAAGGAAGGATGGCAAATCAGTTGGCAACTGAATCTTGACAAAAGGTTGTGAGGGAAACAGGGTTTGAAATGAACAGGCAATTGGGGAAGGGCAAGTCCAGTCAAATATGGAACAGCTATCTGAAAGTCCGTGGTTAACTACTCCTGTAGCTGCTGTGCTGTGCTAGAGTCACCACTGGATCCTCTGGTGTTTGTTTCCTTTAAACTGCAGGATGTAGATGATGTTAGGTGATGCTACTTCAGGCAATTTTAGGAAAATGTAAGGTCACCCTTCCTCAATTCCCCGTTCCCCCGCACTCTAAGGAAAAACAGGAAAGGTAGTTGCTCTCAACTTGTTTCCTTTTCTAAGTTATACTAGATCTGGTTTTCTGAGATATTCCCTGTGTCTCTAGAGTGTGGTGCAACATTGGGCATTCTGAAAGGAAATGACATTAAAAATATCAAGTGTCAACTCTATTTTTGGCAATTTTTTATCGTAGCAAGTTGTCTTTAAGAGAGCCGTCAGGAAAGAAAATTACTTTGTTCACTAAAAAAGTAACGTTGTCTTGGAAGTCTCCTAAATATATTGTTCAGTTCACACACAAATATCTCAAAGCTCTTTAGGGTTGATTGGATCAAGAATTATTTGAGCATTGGAACATTAATGTGGAATTAGAGGTCTTCCTTACTCCTGATTTAATCAGGATAAACAGCAGAGCCTCAGCATCCAGGAACGTGCTTAACCTGAACAAGGTTAGCCAGAATGCTAACCTGAATCTGATGCTGTTTCTACTGCTAGTGCATTATAATTTGTCTGACAATGTTTAAATAAAGATACTGGGGATTTCTCTCTTTTGTGAAGATACTAGTTTTGGGCTTACTTGGTAATGTACTTGGCAGTACATTAGCAGTTGGTAGTTGGGAAATGAACAATCAGTTTGGGGAATTTTTCTTTAAAGCAGTTATGTAGTTCTTGTTCTGATGACATAGTATGCTTCTCTTATAGTTTCATTAGATGATGAATGATTGTCCTTACCAATTTATATAAGAAATCAACTAAATGGCTTTTAATATTCTGCTACTCAGAATTTGAATCTTCTTGAACAGACCATAATAGAATAGCAAGGGTTCCCAACCTTGAAAGCACTGAAGTAAATTGTGATATGATTCAGAAAGCAGGTGTCTTGAAACAAGTGGAAGTAAGTGCTGGCAATAAGATTAAGCATGTTTAGACAGTGATCATATGATTGCTTCCAAATCTTAACACTTCAGAAAAACCAAAAAGGGTTTCCTTGTTGCAGTAGGAAAGTGCAGAGGGACTCAGTGGAGCAAATGTTAACCAATTCAGAGGTAAATTTAGGAATGGCATTCTGTGCATGCTTAAGGAACAGTTAAAAATGTAATTAAATGTTTATTAGGAAAAATGGTGTACCAATGAACATTAAAAGCAAATACATATATTGAATGTAGTAAGAAAACGCTGGATGCTGCAGCTTTATTAAAGCTGCCTTTGTATTGCATTCCTTCTTCCTGTATGTTACTGTAACCCTTTAATGAAATACAAGCATAAGTATCTTTGGAAAATACCACTGTCCTGTAGGTTGTTCAAAAAAAGTTAGTTAATTGCTTGCTACAGCACCTGTTGGCTTGTTAGCAAAAAGCTCTTGTGTGTTCCTGTGTTTGCTTCAGCCATCTGTCTTAATACTGTCAGTTACGATTTTAAACCAACTTTACTTTTTATGCATCTAAAGAAGTCAGACTCCTCTATCAGGACTTGTAGTAGGCTGGGGAGTGCAGTAATGCTTAGTGTGCAGTGTTGTGTTTTGTTACTACCACCGTATCTAGGAGAGGCATACTTGTCCATGGTCTTGAGTTAAGCCTTTGTACTGGAAAATTGGATGAGGAAAAAAGGGTTTCAAACAACGTCTGTGATTCGTATATCAGATTATCTCTGCACATACAAAATACATTATCAGCAACAGGATTTGAGATAGTAGGGTTAAAACTACTTAAACTGTCAACTCATTAGTATGTTGATATTTATTGTACAGCATTTCCATTTTTATGAACTAGATTTGGATGGTAAGAAATGAACACACAAATAAAATATAAAAACCCAACCGCATTGCCCCTCACACCTCTCTTCAACTTCACTCTTTCATTCTCAAATTTACCTCCTCAACTGTTAGAGTGGGGATGGGAAATGGGGGTTGTTCATTACAAGTCTTCTCTGCCACTTCATCCTCCACCCACTTGTTCCCATCTCCAGTGTGGGGTACCTCCCATGGCATACTGTCCTTCAAGACCTGCTCCAGCATGGGTCCTCTCAGGAGCAGGCTGCTCTAGTGTGGGTCCACTGTATGCTGCAAGTTCCTGCCACAGAACCTCCTCTGGCATGAGCTTTCCACAGACTGCAGCCTCCTTCAGGACATATCCACTCCTGCAGCCTGGGGTGCTCCACAGAAGACACAGCCTGCCTCACCATGGTCTGCTCATTAGGCTGCAGGGGAATCTCTGCTCTGGCACCTGAAACATCTCCTCCCCACCTTCTGCACTGACCTGCATCTCTGCAGGGCTGTTTCTCTCACTTCTCACTCTCCTAGTGCTGTTGCAGTTTTTTTTACCCTTAATCACCCACACAGAGGTACCACCAGCGTTGCTGATGGATTCAGCTTTGGCCAGTAGTGGGTCCATCTCAGAGCTGGCTGGAATTGGCTCTGTCTGACATGGGGGCTGCCTCAGTGTCTTCTCCCAGAGTACACCTTATCCATTACCAAACCATGGATATATGAGCGCAATGCAGCATGTTGCTTCCCCAGACATTATTCTAAAAGAGGACTCTGCACATGAAAAAACCTAACTGTTACACGTCATCCTCAGAAACTGAACAAATCCAGTAACATTCCTTTTCTTAATATTTCTTGTTTATAAATCTCTGCAGCTTGGTTTTTACACGTGTGTGCTCTTAGGATTGTGCTGATGTGTTTTCAGCTGTAAGCAAACGCCATCAGATCTGTGATAGTTGACACCTGTACTTTTTGTATTGGATGCATGGCTGAAAACTTGGCTTGTCCTATGTGCAGTTTTATCATTTTGTACAAAAGGCTGAATTCTGCAACTATTATTGCAAAGTAAGAATTTACTTCAAAATTACGATTTCAAAAAAAAGCTTTAGTACTTGATTATGACCAGTAATGCTGATAAAGTCAGTAGAAATGCTGATGTTAAAACAGAGAGATGTTTGTCTATGAGTTGATAACTTAGAGCATGTGATTTTCCTTGAACATAATCAGTGTTCCTTTTTAACCTTTAAATATATTGTTTTCATATTTACTTAATGTCGTGGTTTAACCCCAGCCAGACAGCTTTCACTCACTCCCCCCCCCCTTCTTGCCCTCCCCCTACTCCTGGAGGGACGAAGAGGAGAATCATAAAGAATGCAACTCCCATGGGTTGAGATAAGAACAGTTTAGTAACTAAGGTACAACACAAATCACTACTGCTGCCACCAATAATAGTAATGATAAAGGAAATAACAAGGGAAGAGAATACAACACCTCATCACCAGCTGACCGATAACTCACTCCCCCAGCCCAACCAAGCACCAACCAATACCTCCTCCAACCCTCCAGTCCTTGCCCTTCTGGGTAACTCCCAGTTACCTCCTGGGCATGACGTGCTGTGGTATGGAATACCTCTTTGGTCAGTGTGGGTCAGGTGTCCTGTCTCTGCTTCCTCCCAGCTTCCCTCCTCCCTGGCAGAGCATGAGGCTCACAAAGTCCTTGGCCAAACCAAAATATCATTTTTATCAGCTTTGTTCCCAGCCCGAAAGTCAAAACACAGCACTGCACCAGCTACCAAGAAAGAGAAAAACAACTGCCACTGTTAAAACCAGGACACTCAAGTTTTCCACTTAATTCCAGAATAGTCATTGTCTTTCATCTCCAATTCTAAGTTCTCAATTCGGGGTTCATTGTAAACCATAGTTTTCTTTCCCAGTAACTTTGTGTCTCTCTTAGTTACGCGGGTTCTGGTGAGCTGCCAGCTCCTCACCATGTTCTGCAGGACTGTGGTGATCACGCAGCGCACTTCATTGTACTATTTGTTTACTGATAAGGAGCATAGATAGAAATTCCAGTGTCTCTAGGTGGCTAGACAGAAGTTCTGAAATGAACCTGCATGAGTTTGTTAGGCACTGTTGCTTGCCACGAGCCTTTCTGTCTCAAAAGCAGCATGCATGAAAGCACGTGTACAGAGCACCCTGCTTGTACCTTCCATTTCCCTTGTGGAGAGTGGAGAGGAAAAGACCACACATGGTTTATATTCTTCAGGACGTTACTGAAAAAGCCTTGGATACATTAGAAACAGTAGATAAGGACCTGAAAGAAATACTGTCTGACAAATTTGCATTTTACATTTTGTGCCAAAAAGGCTTTTGTTGCCAGCTGTGTGCCTAACAATGTAAGCTGGCTGTAACACACTGAGATCGTGATACTAGGTATTTTCACTTAAATCCATGATGCTGAGGTTGACTAAACCCAGTTTAAAACTGATTTGTATAGCAGTCATCAATCCAGGATTAGAACAAAAGCAAATTTACCCACACACAGTTGCAGAATAAAACCTTGACTTAAGGGTAGACAGCATAAGGAATTTTAGAAAGAGTTTCAAGAGGATTTGAGAGGTTTGGGCAGTTTTCCTTTTCTCCTTATCTCAGTCTAGAATTTGTCATCTATTGAGCACGTACTTGGCAGTATTCTATTGGTGAGCATGCAGGTTAAACATTTGATTTATATTAGCACTTTTCCTAACTTGTACCCTGCCCCTTCCTTGCTCACCATGTTTTCAATTTGAGCTGATTTATAAACAGTGGTTAAACCATGACATCAGATTAATAGAATTGATCTGTTTCAGTGGTTCCATGTTTAATCTTCAGTGGCAGTGTTGGCTTTTTCCCATCCTCGTGCTGCTTCTCACGTTGCTTCAGTGTAAACAGCAGTGCATTTGGTCAGTGAAGCAGACTGGGGACTGAAGGTGATGCTTGGGAGAGCTGGAGAAATACATCCATGTCTGAATCAGTTTGCCAGTCTCATTCTTTGTCTATATCCCGCTCCCAAACGCAAGCAATGACTGGTCCAGTCACTTATGCTGACACAGAGCACTGTGCTTTGTCAGGGTCAGGAATAAGCAGTGGAGGAACAGAGGGCAACTTATAATGGGCACTATTGAAAAATGTAAAAAACAGTCTTTTTCAGCAAGCATGTATTTTGAATATGAAGAGGTTTGCTCACTCTTGACTGTGGTAATTTGATTTGCTTAATAAAAGGAGGAATATAGTCACTGGAGTTCTATTAACTACCTGATACACCAGAATTGGACTTCTTAATTGTCATTCATGATGATGGTATAAAAATTTTACAAGGGTTTTAACCAAAAATACAGACTTCATATCAAATGAAGCTACACAAATACGTATTGAAATGCAGACTTGCAAAACAGCAATTATAATAAAAGCAGGCTTAACATCGTAGCCTTTCAGATAAAAGTAAAATGCCTTCTTGTATATAGGTGGTGAAAACTGCCAGCTAAATTTTCAGAGTGAAGACCTAATTTAGTAAAACTGGTGGACTTTTATTAGAGAATTTCTTTCTAGTGGGTTGGCCAGTTAAATCTCTAGCATGTGTTGGAAGAACGTAATGAAAAAGTTACTTGAATCTTGTATGATGCACTTACAGTAAGGAATTAAGTTCTGCAGAAAACAAAATGTTTGAGTAGTTTTTCTTCTACATTTTATTGTAAAAGTGAAACAGGAACAGAATTAATCCCATTCAGGTTTAGTTAAATATGCAAGTGATGAATTATATACTAGTGTTAAATTCCCTCAGTTAAACGGTGCTTCTGATTTTCTTTAAGGCCCTACGATCGTACCTTCTCTCAAATGGCAGCTGTATGTCTAGAATCAACCTCTAGACTCATGTGACTATACTGCTGTTAGCTTTGCATGGTGACTTCCACATCTTAAGTGATTATTTTAACCTAACTTAGTTTCAGTTAGCTTTTGGGGGAGGGGTTAATGACTGTGATAATTTTCTTAAAGCAAGATGTTAATGCATAGAGATTTTCCTTGGATGATTAACAAGCCTCAGTGCTAATAAGACATTCTGTTTTCTGCAGCTAGGAAAAGTGTCTACTTTAAAATGTTTGCATAGATCTTTTCCATTTCAGTCTGTTCTACTCATTGTTAAACCCCAAGTTTTGAACTTGACTTTGTCCTTTTTATTCTCTTGAGAAAATTATTCATTGTTTAACCTTTTGCATTACATTGAGTGATGTCACACCCAAGTGATGCCTAGTGCAAAATGTCAAACAGACCACCACCTTGTGCGTTGCAAACTTAACTTCCACTTCAAGGCCAAACCTAAGAGGAGCGGCATTCCAAGGAGGAGACTCAATGTTAATAATCTCCAAATAGCTGCAGTGAGGGACAGCTTTCAGGCTAACTTTCAAACGAGGCTTGAAAACCAACTTATAGATTCTTCTCCTGAAGCGCTTTGGCAACATATTAAAAATAGCATCCTGCAGTCCTCTGTAGAGTCCATTGGGTTCTCCTTAAAAAAAACCCAAAGACTGGTTTGACGATAGCAACCACCAGGAGGTCCAGGAATTGCTGACAAAGAAGAGATCTGCTCATCCAGCACACCTCGCTCAGCCACTCTGCCATGTAAGAAAAGCAGCCTTTCGTCTTGCATGTAGCAAACTCCAACAGAAACTTAGAGACATCCAGAACAAGTGGTGGCTCAACCTAGCAGAGAAGACTCAATTATGTGCAGATCTGGGTGACCACAGAGGATTCACTGCTCTGAAGGCAGTGTATGGACCCACATTTCAGGTTCAAAGCCCCTTACTTAGTGCAGATGGCCAAACGCTTCTTACAGATAAAATCTCCATCCTGAATCGTTGGTCTGAACATTTTCAAACACTCTTTAGTGCTAACCGTGTAGTCCAATGCGAAGGAATCCAGCACATCTTACAACATCCCGTGAAAAATGAATTGGATTTAGCCCTTACCATGGGAGAGACTCTTAAGGCCATACAGCAGGTGAAAACTGGCAAGGCAGCTGGGGTTGATGGAATCCCACCTGAAATCTGGAAGCACAGAGGCCAAGCACTTCATGCTAAGTTTCATGAACTAGTTGTGCGCTGTTGGGAACAAGGTAAATTACCATCAGTTTTTTGTGATGCAATCATCACTTTGTATGAGAAAAAAGGTGTCAAGTCAGACTGCTCAAGCTACCGAGATATAACTCTGCTCTCCATTGCTGGAAAAATTCTTGCAAGAATACTATTGAATAGATTAGTACCTGCTATCGCAGAAGAACTTCTACCTGAAATTCAGTGTGGTTTCAGAGCTAATAGAAGTGCCACAGACATGGTATTTGTTCTCAGACAACTGCAAGAAAAGTGTAGAGAGCAGAATAAGGGGCTCTATGTAACTTTCGTTGACCTCACCAAAGCTTTTGACAATATGAGCAGAAAAGGCCTGTGGCTGATCTTGGAACGATTAGGTTGTCCCCTCAAGTTCCTCAAAATGATTATTCTGTTACATGAGGATCAGCAAGGCCAAGTCAGATATGGTGATGCATTCTCTGAGCCATTCCCAATAACCAATGGTGTGAAACAAGGTTGCGTTCTTGCACCAAGTTTATTCACGATCTTCTTCAGCATGATGCTCCAAAGGGCTACGGCAGACCCAGACGAACAAAACGACATTTATATTCGATATTGTACTGATGGGAACCTATGCAATCTAAGGTGGTGACTGAAGACGAACACTAAGACCCTAAATCATCTTGTCCATGAACTGCTTTTTGCTGAGGATGTTGCTCTTGTTGCCCACACAGAAGCAGCTCTGCAGCGTTTAACATCTTGCTTTGCGGAGGCAGCTGAGCTTTTTGGGCTGGAAGTCAGCTTGAAGAAGACAGTAGTTCTCTACCAACCTGCACCACAAGAAGATAATCATCATCCCCACATTACCATTGGTGAGTCAGAGCTTAAGTCAGTTCAGCTATCTGGGAAGCACTATTTCCTCAGATGCCACGATCAACAGAGAGATAGACAACAGAATAGCAAAGGCATATAGAGCCTTCGGAAAACTCCATAAAAGAGTCTGGTGCAATAAACACCCTAAGTACAAAGATTAGTGTCTATAGAGCCATTGTTCTGTCTGCTCTTTTATATGGGTCTGAATCATGGGTCATCTACAGTCATCACCTGCGACTCCTCGAGCACTTTCATCAGCGCTGCCTCCGTACAATTCTAAACATCCATTGGACTGACTATGTGTCTAAGGTCACTGTCCTCGAACAGGCAGGGGTCACCAGTATCAAGGCCATATTGCTGAAATTGCAGCTGCGCTGGGCAGGGCACATCTCTAGGATGAAGGATCACTGCCTCCCTAAGATCGTGTTTTACAGTGAACTTGGCACCGGTAGCCGCAAAAGAAGTGCCCCAAAGAAGAGGTATAAGGACTCCCTGAAATAATACCTTAGCCTTGGCCATATTGACTACCATCAGTGGTCCACCTTGGCCTCCAATTGGGAGACTTGGAGGCACAGCATACATAATGCTGTTGACTCCTTTGAGAACTTGTGCAGAACTAGTCTCGAGGAGCCTAGAACTACACTCTCGTGCCCTGCCTATATCACCCAAGGAGATCTGCTGCTGTACTTTTTGCAGCCGGATTTGCCTATCTCACACTGGCCTTTTCAGTCATCAGCGCGTTTGTAGTAAGCGTGTGTAAAGCCCTTCCCAAATCTTCATTCGTGAAGTCAAGCCATGATGATGATGACTGGTTCTCAGCTCTTTCTTCAACCTGGAGTCTAATATTATTGTCTTAGAATTATTCCCCGGTGTGTCTTGCAGAGGAGAGGAGAGAGGGGACTATGTTTGCTTATTCTTATGTCTCTCGTGCTTGTTTTCCCTTGCTTAGTGTGAAGATAATCACAATATTAATAAAAGTCTGTTCTTCCTCTATAGACCTTGCCTCATTTATTATGAAATTGAAATAATAACGAAAATAAAATTTATTACATTTCAGTTTCTCATATTATGTAGTTGGAAGTCAGTCATCTCACACTGCTGGTGTGTATGTAATAGTGTCACTAATACTCCACACTAGTATATGTTTACTTTAATCAATTCTGTAACAAATTGTCAATGGGAATAGTTTCCCTTTAGAGAAAAGGAATTAATGTTCTATAAAATTATGGCAAGTACTTTATAGGAAAGAAACAAAAGGGTGCTTGACCTTGGTTGAAAGAAGACATCATGAGGGAATAACATGTAAAGGTTACTTCAGTGATAAATGTGAATTAGCTGCTTTTACTCACATCTTATTGACAAGAAGGTATTAAAACATCCTTTTAAAGATTTATCCTTACAAGCTGTCTTTGAAGTTGTTTGATTTATCTTAAGTTGTCTTAAGTTGTGCAAGCATAATCAGATTTTATTTTTTTTCCCCAGTTGGTGTTATCCGCTGTCCAATTTGTGGTCAGGAATGTGCAGAGAGACACATCATAGATAACTTTTTTGTGAAGGATACCACAGAGGTTCCCAGTAGCACAGTTGAGAAATCAAATCAGGTAAGTGCATTAACGTGTAATCAAGTTAACACCTTTTGGATGTGTATGAGTAGCCTTGGCTGCTTGCTGTGTGGCTTTTTTACTGTTTATAAGCAGAAAAATACTTCAAGTGCTTAGTCATCACATGGGGTACCTACTCTAGAAAATCAGTTAAAATTGATGAAAACACATGTAAAGAAGTGATTTTCTTACTCTGAACTATTTTTAATCATTGATATAATATTGTATTGCTTGGTATTGTTGATATTGTAAGTAAGGGGTCGGCAAAAGAATGGAAGTTTCTATGCTTAGGACAGGGCACTTAAAGCACTCTTTGAAACAGAAACCTGAGCAACACTGCATCAAGGGATCCCAATGTAAAATGGAATCCTCTAGTTAAATCAGCCATTTTTTATTATTTTTTTTTTAATCTCATCACTGGCAAAGTGTAGCACTAAATAGAGGCTTAGACTTCTAATTGAGGAAGATGGTATGTTGTAGTGGTTTCTTGTTTTTCTTACGTAGGTAGGCTATTGTTCCTTTTGCAGACGAGTAATAGCCATCTCATAAAACCAGAACCTGCTTATCTGGAGGAATAGTAATACTGGGGTTTTTCCTCATGGTGGTTTTTCAGGAGAAGAGTGCTAATGTGGAAGCAGTACCAAGTGAATAAATCACATCTCTATAGTATCACAGTTCAGCTATTTCTGGTAACAAAATATTGCATGTCTTCATTTTTAGCTAGTAACAGAGTATGTCAAGTATTTCTTTACTCATAAACTTTTTATTGAACTCTATGAACTTACTGTAAATAATTCAGCTTCTTTAAATGTTGCTGTAGTCTTCATAATAATAGTACACAGGGTTGCTATGTCAATGTGGCTTGCATTTCAACTCCTCCTCCAACATTTGGATGGTAGTCTCCTTTTATTTTGAAAATGCCTCTTTTTAGTTTTCTGCTTGGGACCTGTACCACTGGCTCTAGATCCATTTGTCTTGGGGGCAGCTCCTTACAGGTCATTTATTATGTACTTTGCTGCTCTCAAAGCTTAACTGAAATTTGTGCTTGCATGTATAAACGAGTACGTCACTCAGGAACAGATGACAGCACCCAGTGAGGTTTGTGACACAAGCTCACTGATGATTAAAGGCGTAACTTTTGTCATCATCTCTGAGGAAGAGGAATTAACTTATGTCTGAAAATCATTAACCTGCATTCAGCTTATAAGGAGCTTTGCAGCTGGATTTGTGAGAAATGATAGACCCTACCAGAAATTGAAGCTTATTTGGGAGCTGCCGGAAATGCAAGCAGTGTTCTCTTAATGTAGGACAGTTTTTGGCATTTGTGTGTGTTTAGTTTGTTGTGGTTTTTTTCCTTGTTTTATTTGGGGTTTGGTTTGTTTGGTTTGGTTTTGTTTGTTTTTCCTCCTGGATATTGCAGGAAAACATCTGAGTTTTGGAGGTGGTTGTGAGATTTACACAAATTCTCTCAATACTCTACCAGTAAGGCTGAGAAAATTAATAGTCCATGTTGCATTGAAAATTTGATCAGAACTTTTTTAGAGACTTTAAAATCAGGAAGAAAAAAAAGAAAAAAATATAACTTGTGTTATGCAGCAGCAGTCCTGAACGTTTTTTTGGGCCTGTGCCATAACCTCTGCTCAGTTATGTAACAAGTTCTCTAAGATGTTCTCTGGGGAATGATGATGGAAGTGCAATTTCCTGCGTTTAGTGACAACGTTGGGTTGTGAGGTGGTTTGTTTGGGTGTTTTTTTCCTACTTTCTGTGAAAGTTACGTGGGGAATTGATGCCTTTGAGACTTGGGTATGCAATTGAAAATTCAGGAAGGGTTCTTTATATTCTTGAGGTTGGTCATAATGATGTACAACTGGATGGACTCCAGCAGGTCATAGGGTATCAAAAGTTGGTATATGTGCCAAACTCAGTCAGTGATGTCAGGGTAAGTCAGGTGCTTCCTTGGAATAGAGGGAGAGGTCTTTTTTGTTTACCTTTTGGATTGTGATCTCCTGGAGGCAAATACAGAGAAATTCCACATATTTCAGCAGCTGTTGTGGAATCATCCATTGTGTAAGCAAATGCCAGGGAGGTTCTTCAAAGCATTTGTGTTTCCTGATGTTCCCTCCTCGGACTTATGTTTACCCTTCCATATTTGTTTCTCTCTCTCCCTAACAAAAAACAGCAGGCTTGCCATTCAGAAAGCATGTCTGTTCTTCAGCTGAATTCAGTGGCTGAACTCTGCATACTTTCTGCAGCAGTTGAAGGCAAACCAACCTTTTTTTTTTGGTTTGGGGTTTGGTTTGGTTTGTTTGTTTTAAATGGAGCTAGATGATTTGTTAGATACCTGCCAAGTAAGTGTGTGCCTCACCTCCTGGAATCAAATGATACGTAGTTCTGTTTTGTTTGAGTAGATTTATTTTGGTCTGGTAATGAAGTTTTTTTGGACTTTCACTTTGGAACAAAAGGAGAAAAAAAAAAGCTGCACCATTCTATAAAGCTGCCTGTGTGGAATAGTGAAGTTAATAATAGCTAAATAGATCAGTGTCTTGTTCAAGGGGTACTGTTAGGAGGTTTAAGGCAGATGCATCCTTCTCATTGGCCTGTCTTGTTTTGTCTTGAAAGGAGCAAAGAGAAAAGAGAGAAAAAATTGCTGGTAGGAAGGTGGGGAACAGATCAGAGGAACTGAAGTGGAAAAGATACTGAGACTTGCAGGGAATACTGGATCAGGGATCATCCAGATTCTTTGGCTATTTTATAGACATTTTCTACGGAGATAGACATTTTGTAGACATTTTCTACTGGTTAGTTTGGCTTTGAGAGTTTAGTAGCTTTAGCAGGATGCTGAAGAAATTGGAATTAGAGGTAAGCTATAGGTTTTCTGCAAGTGACATGGTGGCTTAGAACCACTGGTCCATATCTATGAGTAGCCTGTGTATGTGTGTTGTCAGGAAAGACTGGTTTATTTCAATTCAAGACAGAAGAAAAAAAACCCACCCCACTTTCAAATTCAGTGATCAGTTGTTTCAATTCTAAAATGGTACTAATGCTAAAATAGCTTTTAGTGTAATGAATTAAAACTGAATGATTGAATGGCATATCATGCAGCCTGGCGCTGTGGGATAAGAATAATAACTAGAACCCATGAACGTGCTATCCATCTGTCTAAAATCATGTTTATCTTACCTGAGCCTGATTTTGGCAGCTTAGTACTCTGCTTACATAGCTATGCTTTCTAGCAATTACTACTGCAAACTTTAGTAGCAAAAGAAGTAAACATAAAGAAAGTGTAAAAGTCCCTAGTATGTGTTCTGCAAGGAATTTCCTGGCTAACGTTAGAGAACATTAAGAGTTTTGTGCTGGCTATTAGCATAGTAAGCTTTCCAGAAGAAGAGAGACTAATGGGAAATGCATTTCTGATCTTTCTCAAATAATCATTGTAGGTTGCAGGCAGCTGGAACTTAAATACTGGGGAAGAGCAGATCCTTTATAATTTTTTCACATTGTGATTTACTAAATGTCTCAGCAAAAGTACTGAATGCTAGAGAGAAGTAAAAAAACAAATTAATTATACTTGATTCATGAAAGTGAGTGCAAAGGATTTTCAAGCCCAAGAAATGTTACTGAAGCAAATGCTAAACTTGAGTAAGACTAAAGGGTAGACAAGTGAAGGAAATCTAGGAACTTAATAGAAGAAAATTGTTTAATATATGTGGAAAGCCATGAAAATAAAAATGCAAAGTATGAGATTGATGCAGAAGAGAAGATCATAGTGATAACTGATGTTGCTGCAGCATATAGAGTAATGCATTTTAGTCTAGGTCCTAATTCTTCAGCTTCTGTGTCCAAAAGATAACATATGTAAAATCATTTTTGATCGTAAGAACACTTTCTGTATCTTTACCAGTTACTGACCTGAGAGTTTGAAATGTTATAGTAGGAATGAGGAACAGCTGGACTTTGTGAGATACTGACAAGGTACAAGTCCAGATCTCTTCCTAGATCTGGATAGTAAGACAGCAAGTGTGACTGGCATAATAGAGTAATTAACGAGGACAATCTAGAATAAAAAGTTTATCTAGTTTTATATGGTACCATCCATGTATTCTTCCACCATGTATTCTTCCAAAGAACTAGTATGCTAAATAGCTTATTAAAGCTGTAGCAATGCCCACTGGCAGTGAGTAATATACTCAAGTCATGATAAGGTTTTGTTGTGCTTTGAAGAGAAGCAGCTGATGATCAGATGTTGGGGAAAGGACAATATGTTGATTGGGATTCATGCATTTTTGAGACATCAACATGTGGTTCGTATTTAGAGTTACGTATAGGGGAGACTGTCCCAGGTGCTATCTTTGGTAATTGTGTATGCGCCATGAGGTAGTTACATAACTATTAGCATCAATGTTTTTTGGATCTACTGTAGTTTAACCCCAGCTGGCATTTAAGGACCGCACAGCTGCTCACTCATTCCCATCCTCCCCTGGTGGGATGGGGAGGAGAATCAGAAAAAGGTAAAATTCATGGGTTGAGATAAGAATAGTTTAATAATGGAAATAAATAATGGTAATGAAAAGGGGAGAATGAAAGAGGAATAAAACCCAATAAACACAAGTGATGCACAGTACAATTCCTCACCACCTACTGACAGATCTCCATCCTTGAGAATGATCTGCCCTTCCAGGTAACTCCTCCCAGTTTATATAGTGGGCATGATGTGCTGTAGCCCCTTTGGCTAGTTTGGGTCAGGTGTCCTGTCTCTGCTTCCTACTGGCTTCTTGTGCCCCTACTTACTGGTAGAGCATGAGAGACTGAAAAGTCCTTGATCAGAGTTTAAGCATTACTTAGCGTTGATGTGTTGTCAGTATTGTTCTCAGACTAAAGCTGGAACATAGAACTGCACCAGCTATTAGGAAGAAAATTAACTAGCCCAGCCAAAACCAGGACAGTATCCAATGAAGGAAACAATTGCATCTAATTTACACTGGTTAAGCTTGGAATGTTAGTTCACGGAATATTCCACTGGACTACTTTGCTCTCTTCCTTTGAAACTTGGAAACCTTTGCTTGCTCATTTAATCTCTTTAATAATCAAAGTATATTTATTTGAAAGAGTGGTTAGTTACTACAGTAGTTGAAAAGACAGTTTTATTATCTCAACTCCTTGCAAGTAATTCTGTTTTTAAGTAAATATATAAGCTTTTACAACAGAAAAAATGGTACTTACCTGCAACATGCTGAGTAATTTCAGCTTTCGTTACATGTGAATGAAGGCTGAATGAACACTTCCCGGGGTTATAAATACTAGAACTAGTAACTGAATTAAATATAATTACAAGGGAAACTCAATTAAAAATAAATATCTGTCCAACCAGAATAAAGGCTTACAGGTTAACTAGGGAGAGTTTTCATTGAAATCATTGAAGCGTTCCTTGTATGAGTCACAGAAATAAGAATGAAATAAGTTTTGTGTTTTGTAAGAGCACAGCAAATATTTGTAGTAATTGTACTTCATGTACTTTGGCTATATGACTTATTCTAATAACTGAGAGTTCTCTAGCAAAATCCAAGGTATATCTGGAAATGGGTATTTCAAATAAGAAGTGAGTAGAAGGGAAACTAGTTTCTACCTAGAAGGCATAGCTATTTTGACAGCATGAGTTACGATGTCTGTGAAAAATTGTAGAAATATGTCTCTTTTCCACTTGGTGGTTTTGAAGTGTATAAAGCTGGAATATATATATATATATATATATATATTTGAGACTACAAAGGAGGAATTGCAGTTCATTTGGCACCACCTGATTATTGGTTATTGAATGACAGCCTTCATTCTAACTATAGCAGGTCAAACCAGTTGAAAAAAAGCCCCTAAGGCAATTGAAAAAAGAAAATAGATGAAGGTTTTGGAATCCAGGAAGAATGAATAACTTCAAAAATCTTTTGAACTTACTTAAATGCCCTGGCATGTAGCAAGTTTATTTGCCCAAGTTTGCTAAAGGTGACCTGGAAAGGCTGATCTGGGTTTTGGTTTGGGGTTTTGTTTTTTTTTTTTTTCAGTTTCTTATATTACTATTATTTTCAATTGGGCTCCTGCCTCTTCTCCCCATCCCTGGTGCGTTGGTTTTTTTTTTTTGTCTTTGTTTTGCTTTTCTGATTTAGAGAATGCCTGAAGTACTTCTTTTTGGTTTTGTTGGTTTGGTTTTTGGGTTTTTTTTTTTGTTGTTGTGTTTTTCTTTATTTTGTTTTCACTGTTGTTTTGTTGGGTTTTTTTACACTGGAAAAACAAATACCCAATCCCTCGCTCTCCAGTCTAGCTTGCAAAACTACCTCTGGTTATCCGGGGGCATAGCACAATCAAACGTCTCTGGCAACAAGGCCAATTTCACTTGTCTTGCAGTAGTTCACTGCAGTGGTGATGTAAGCCAACCTTGGGCTACAGTGGTGTAATCAATCCGGTTGCACACCACAGTCTTGCAGAGGGTTGCGTTGGCGCACCTGGGGAGAAGATGACTGGTGAAGGAGAAGGGAGGGGATTTCTTTCATAGGATTTCCTGCCAGAGAAAATGTACTATTGCAGTAATGCTTCATTCAGTGTACCTGCTTGTTTTAAATGGGACTTTTTTTTTTTTTCAAGAAGCTGTGCTGAGTCCTTAAGAGTAGGTTGTTGTGGGGTTTTTTTTCCCCCTCCAAAATATCATTGAAACAAAAAGTTAACAGCAAGTAAAATTTTTCAGTTTTCTGATTACAATTAACTTCTCAATTGCTATACTTTCATTTTCTTGACTTTTAAATGACATCTTGACTTTTGTATTTCTCCCTAGTCAACTAGGCTGGATAGGATTAGAATTTTATTATGAAGAGAACAGGGGGAAAAAAGGAAAAAAAATAGAAGATTAAAAAAAAAAGATTTTTAAAAATAAAACTTTCAGGCCTCCTTTTTGTAGAGAAACAGAAAAAGGGGCACAAGCCCAATTTTTTCTCCTTTGCAGGTCACCTTTAATGAAAAGGAACTGCTTCAAACTCCAAGTGACAAGAGAGGGGTCAACAACCCTTGTGTTTTCACTTCATTTCTCAGAAGATACTTGCTTTGAGAGGCAACATGATCCAGAAGAATAAGCACAGCATTGGGAATCTGGAACGCCTATATTCAAATTCCAGTTCTGTCAGTAACTTGCTATGTGGCCTAAGGCAAGTTCTGTGCTAATTTTCCTCTTTTTCTTGAAGGGGAAACTGGGACATAGCTCTACGTGTATATTTGCATAGGATGTAAATACTTGCTTCCTCTTTAACTTAACCTACATTTATCTCGTGTGGGTGCAGAAGTTGGCGCTTTTTTTAAATATGTTTTTATTTTTTTAATTTAAATCAAACTGAAAACTAAAACATAAAATTTTCACCTTGTTGTTCCTGCATGCAGAATTCCATCACTCTGATCTGTAGGGTATAGACATCTTCAGAGATCTTGAGGCTTTCGTTTGCAGCAGCGCTAGATGTTGATAGAAATGGATGGTAATTACCTGAACAAGTATCTGCATAAGCATGTTCACTGGGTTTACCACCAAAAAACCCTTGAAGGCATGACTACAGAGGCATTTTAAAGGAGGAGTTAAAAATGAAATAAGCTATGGACATGTGTAGTGATGGTGTCCTTCATTCATAGTTTTCAACCTGTTGTTCAAACTGTGGATTCATAGGATTTTGTTCTTGTGTGTATTGACTTTGTGCAGAGAGGTTTTGGTCTGCTTTCAGGTTTATTTTCCCTTTTTTTTTTTAATTTTTATTTTTTCCCTAAATCTCTTGGGTATAGTCCAGAGAGGCCCAGGAAATAACAGGCAGTAGTTTGAAAATTATTATGCATTGGTTGCAGATCTGTTCTGGGGTAGCTTTGCTTATAGGCTTAACTGGAATGCTTTCTGTAAGTGGTGATGCAGAGACTCCTGAGAAGTATCCTTCTGTTCAGTACTGTGTGTACTTCCTGAAACTCTTAAGAGGGTGAACAGAAACCAAAACTAAAGCTTCTGTGTGAACTGAGGGAGGCCTCTAAAAACTTGGAACAGTGTTGATCATGCTCTGTCTGGAGTAAATATTTCACAGAAGTGTATTATATATAGGAAACATTATATGACTTAAGCGTGCAGTGTTGAGCAAAAAGTAAAGGTTTTAGAGTAGCACTGACAAAATGACCACTATCTTTGAAAAGTCACATTCACTTACTTTTGTGCAGTTATTTATAGTGTTCCTGTACCTCAGGCAGTTTTCCATTCTCATTTCACTGTTTTCAGAAAACTGTAGAAGTGCACTGATATATGAACAACAGCTTGTATGTATATTCCATATTTATTTTAACAGCCAGCTTTCCTTTCTCATGTCAGGTCTGCACAAGCTGTGATGACAATGCAGAAGCTAATGGGTTTTGTGTGGAATGTGTAGAATGGCTGTGCAAGACCTGCATCAGAGCTCACCAGAGGGTTAAGTTCACAAAGGATCATACTGTGAGACAGAAAGAGGAAGTATCTCCAGGTAACATACTTGATATATAATTTCATAAACAATATATGTCAGCATTGGAAGACTGTGGTAGACCAGCACATTTCTTTTTAAAGTGATAAATAAAAAAAAATAAATTCCTTAATTCTAGTAAATGCAAAAGGACAGATTCATTATGATGTAACACTTTGGTGTATATGGATTTGTGGAACTATGTTATTTTTCTGGTTGCAAATGGGTATGTTTTAGCAGTCTCCTGCCTTACGCTTATTTCAGTTACATTGCTGACGGTTGCGAGCATCTGAACAAATTCTGGTGTTTCTTTGCCAGCTCTCCATCAAAGTGGATCACTTAAATGGTTCACCTAACAAAGAGAAAAACTATTTTAAGCATTGGCTGCATTATAACATAGCTATTGAACAGGGAATCTTTGTCATGCCTGAGCACATGGCAGCTGTTTTTCTGTCAGATACATTACATAGTGGCAAGAAACTTCAGAAATTGATATTTCATATTTTTATGCAAAATGTTTTAAACCAGTAAATACACATAGATTTTTTCTTTTTTTATCATTCACCTACAGTGATTGCAAATTTTTGTCTACAGTTCTAGTCCACCCTGCTTAAAGCAGTCAAATGTGAGATCAGATTAAGTTGCTCAGGGCTTTATCCATTTGGGCCTTGAGTACCAACAAGGGTGGACATCGTGTACAGTATAGCCTCTGAGAAATCTTGACTGTTCTTGTGGTTAAAAAGATTGTACTTTCATTCCTTGAGAACCTGTTTTGTTTCAGTTTATGCCTCTTATGTCTTGTGTTTTAGTGCCATTGTAGGCAATTATAAACATAATAGGATGTTGACTATCATTCTATGCATTCTAATGAGTCCATTGGACTTGCATGATTTATCTTGTAAATTTATAAAATATTTTTATAAATGACTGTACATTATTATAAATTATTATAAATATATGTATTGTAATACATATTTATTTTCATTCCATTATATCTAGTCATGTGAATTTTATATGCCACATGGGCTTTTACTTCTATAATCTTTATTGTTCAAAGGGAAGCTCCTATTATGATACTTTGGATATATATACTGTATTCTGTATCCCACGTTCAGATGTGGTTAATCAAAAGTGAGTACTGTGTGTACTTTCAGGAGAGGACAAAAGCAGTAGGTAGAAGTGTTTGGCTGGTCACGTTCAGTGTGACTTGGTGGTAGGAATGCTGTCTGTGCATGCAGGCCTCCTCTGCTGGTCAGTTTTAAAGAATTTTGAATTAATTGGACTTGGATTGAAGGGTACAGATCTGAAAATAACTTCTTCCATGTTTCATGAAAATCAGTAAACAAATTGGTGTGGAAAAGAAACCTTACTGATCTGCAGTGAAGGACAAGTGCAGTGTGAAGCCAGTTTTCATCAGAGGCCATATAATCCTTATGAATTCAGTGTCCAATCTAACTCGTAACAAATTAGGTTTTGTTGGTTCAGCTGTTCTAAAGAACAGATTTCATATCTATCATCTGGTGGTGTTTCCTATGCTCTTTGGTATTTGCCCACTGTAAACTGAAGTAGGACCTCTCATCCATCTAGAATGGATGAGAATACCTGAAGGGATGCTTCTGGTAACTTCTGATTGTTATGTTCTGTATATTGTACATTTCTGAATGCCCATGTCTTGGTATCCTCAGACCCCTTTTCAGCCATTTGACTGAGAAGGAAAACAGTAATGGCTTAAGTCAGCAATCTCCTAATTCCCATTTAAGAAAAAGGAACTTGCTTGGTTGTGCAATGTCTTTTGCAACTGCAACAATACTGGCTACTCCTTCTGTAAATAGTTTTGTGGGGCCACAATAAGGTATGGTAAAATTGGTGCTAGGCATTCTCCATGAGAGAGGGTGTTGACTGCATGCTTGATCAAGTGTGAGGCATTGCAGTTTGAGCTGACAGCTGTAATATTCTTGATTAGGTGGCCTGATACATGCTTCTAGGGTCTAGTTGAGGAATGTGGTAAGGAAAAACAGGAGAATGCAAATCTTTAATAATTGCAGAAGGCTGGACTGACATCTTCCTTTATTCAACAGAAGCAGTTGGTGTGACCAGTCAGCGACCTGTGTTTTGCCCTTACCACAAAAAGGAGCAGTTGAAGTTGTATTGTGAAACCTGTGACAAGTTGACCTGCCGAGACTGTCAGTTACTAGAACACAAAGAGCACAGGTATTGAAATAAAGTACATGTTTTATGCAACTCACTTACAGGAAGATAGCCTGAAGTTGATTGTAACTGTATGGAATACAGTCAGGTGAAAAAAGTGCAAAATAAAATCTTTGGCTTAGAAATGAAGCCCACAAATAAGGAGAGTTTGTATCTGAGAGTGTGGCGGCTGAGTGTGTGAGTTTGGAATAAAGCCTGATTCTTCCCATTATTAACCTAGTGACTTAAGTGCAAGACCATTCTTTACTGTCAAGTTGCTTGGATAGTATTTGTTGGTATGCAGCGCTTCAGAGTCTTAAAGTGCAGGGGCTGTGTTATGCAACTGTACACTTACGTGCAATTTCATTTGTCCTTCAACAAGGTGATTATATAATGGGACATTACCGAAGAATTTCAGAATGGAGTAAATGGGCTTTTTTTTTTTCCTGTAAAGAGCCCTTTAAATGGAAGAGTTGACCTAAAGTTTGGTTGTACTGTGTTTTGACAACACTATAGCACTCAGGTCTCTGGGTTGCTGGTTTTTGGTTGTCTCTTACTGGCCATAGAAGCTGAAAAGCAGGATTATATACAACTTCTGAGTACAAGACACTAATCTTGCTGGCTAACACATACAGTACCTGTATGGGACAGATGTAATCTTAGGTTAAATATTAATATGCTTGTTATTCCTGATGCAACCACCCAAAGAGCTTCCTCACCCAACAAGGTGAACATCAGTTAGCTGAAGTGTTGGCCTTGCTCCTGCAGAACTGCAGTCTTCCTCTTCAATTTTCTTTTTCTTAGAATTTATATCCCTTTCAGAATGTACCACCTCTTTTTTTCCCTCAAATTGTTGATGATTCCAGTTTCTTTATTTAAAATGTTGCTGACTTCTACTGACTCAGCAATCTCACTTCTGTTTCTACAACCTTATCTTGCATGAAGTAATAGATTACATGCACTTTCATTTTCAAAGTGATGACTACAGCACAACATTAATTTTTACTTTGCTAAAATTGGGCTATTGTCTTGCAATATCCCCTCATATTTATGAAAATAATAAATTTCTCAAAAAATACAGAAAATATACTATAAATTCAAATATACTATAAATAAAACCAGCGTTTGCTATCGTACTTCCATGATGACAGTTAAATTTTTGGACTTGAGCAACATCATTCTTGAATTAAGGAAGTTTTTTGTAAGGCAGCCTGCTTTTTAGCAAGTATAACTGCACATTTTGCATGTGTAAATTCTCACTGGTTTTTACTACAGGTACCAGTTTATAGAGGAAGCTTTTCAGAACCAGAAAGTGATCATTGAGACACTAATCACCAAATTGATGGAAAAAACGAAGTACATAAAATATACAGGGAAGCAAATCCAAAACAGGTATGTATCAGGTTTTGATGTTAAAACTGCCACAGGGACGACTTTATATACACTGTAATTCCTTGAAATGTTTAGGTAAGTGCATTTGGTACCTCTCTCCTTTTATCCTTGCAGAAAGAGAAATACTAAAATCTCCAGTTTGCTGTAGTAACTGTTGCCTGTTTAATGGGCTTGGTTGTGTTAGGTAAGTCTTCTGCTTAGCCAGAAGACTTTATAGGCAGCAAATAGCCTGGGTGCAACAGAACTTAGGCAATAAAGCCTGTGGAAGGCATCTTGCATTCTTTCCCCACCATTAGTTTCTCTGTGTAGATCCCTCTTAGAAAGCAAAAGGCTGTGACTCATGTTTGCATAATGCTTGTGACACATTTTGAAGATTTATGTAATACTTCTATGCTTGGGGCCTTATTCACTGGGTATTACAAACCTAGGAGAAAAATAAATCTGTAAAATGCATGCTGCAGTAGGCCTTTGTAACTGCTCCTTCAGCATAGTTCAAAGGCAGTACCCAGGAAGACTCAACTCTGTATGGGATGTTGAGTGCAACCTGAACTCTTCCTCTCTCTTTGCCTGTCTTTGAGTATGGTGGAGGTGGAAAAAGCCAGCAAACATCCTTCTGTTTTGCTGCATCTGAGTCATTATTCTGCCTTGTATATTAGCAGTAGTGGTTTTCACTATGTAAGATGATGATTTGCTGTTACAAGTTTGACCACTGTTGTTGAAATAGCTAAATTGGAAAATCTGTTTGTTTATTGGGTTTTTTTTTGTTTTGTTTCTGGAGTATCATTCTACCTTAGATAGGAGTTAGACTTAAACAGTTTTGATTGCTACAACTATTCAAGAAATGTACTGGACCATTAAAAATCAAGAATTTTAGTTCCAGTAAGCATTTATTTTTTTATCAGTGGCACATGTCAGTAATTTTACAGACTTACAGCGCTGGAATTTGCCACCAGCTAATTTTATCATAGCTTACTGTTACTTGTTCTTTCTATTTCTCCCAGTAATTTTCCTGACCATAAGTATCTGATGGTATATGTATTAATTAGTGCATATGACCAAGAAATATTGTAGTCTCAGCAACAGAGTAGAGGGGATTCGGTGGATTTGTGAACTAAAAAACACTGTTTTCTATGCTGTCTACTTACAGAATTCTTGAAGTGAATCAGAATCAAAAGCAGGTGGAACAAGATATTAAAGTTGCCATATTTACACTGATGGTGGAAATAAATAAAAAAGGAAAAGCTTTGCTGCATCAGTTGGAGGTAATCTAATTTCTATCATAAGAAAAAAATCAGTCTTCATATCTATTTTTTTTGTAGATTCACATTAAAAAATCCAATCTAGATGATTCTAAAATAAAATTGATGTCTAGTATCAGCCACCTGTGCATGTCCTGTCACAGTTCCAAAGTACAGAGATGTCCCACAAAAGCTATATGACCAAGTGGGATTTTGATGAGGGAGGACAGGAATGTTTGTGTTTAGGGGGTGGCAGTTGTTCTGTTTGTAACTGTTATGTGTTCCATGCTTTGTGAATCAGGGCTGCCTTTGAGCTCAGTTTCTTTCTCCGTGCTTTTACAATTCGTGTTGTGCATGAAAAGTATTTCCATCAGAATTTTCCATAAATTCATCAATCCAGTGACCAACCAAAGTAGAGAATTGTCTAGAATGAATACCTGGAAAAATACTACCTCCAACTCTTTTTTTCAAAAGAGTGTGTGCGCACAGGGAGGCTTGTATGTATGTGAAAATGTATCATAAGAGAATACGGGAATATGTACAGGAAGCCCTGATATCTTGAATAAATGTATACTGACTTTTCTGTTTGATAGCTGCAGTTGGGGGCAGGAATGCTCTTTAGAAGAGCTAAGCTATCATTGTGAATTAGAAACATGAAAGCTAATGCCCGTTAACTGTAAATTGAACCCGTTGACTGGAACTGCATTTGCATTTGTAGACCCTGGCAAAAGAGCATCGAATGAAACTTCTTCAGCAACAACAGGAAGTGGCAGGTCTCTCTAAGCAGCTGGAACACGTCATGAATTTTTCCAAATGGGCAGTCTCCAGTGGGAGCAGCACAGCACTACTGTACAGCAAACGCTTGGTAAGGTTAGAACAATAGCTCTCTCCATTTACTTAGAGACTGTTGTTAGTCTCTCTCACATGCGTGCGCGCACACACACACACACACACTTGTCAGTAATGCTAGGAAATTAGACTTTCTAATAACTCTCTACCAATAGGTGTATTTGTGTACAGATTTCAGTTTTCTCTTAAACATAAATACAGAATGTTTCTAATAATTTGGAATTATTTTTTGATACTCATTAAAATGCTGTAGTCTATAGCAGACAGCAGAATATTACTTGGTTTTATCAACTTCAAGTAGTTAAACTCATTTTGCCTGCCTTGTACTGCCTCAGCCAGTCATGTTTTTTTAATTGAGTAGAGAAAAATAACGTCAGTCTGAGTCACATTGTTTATAGCTGCTTAGTGTTGCTACAAAGACTTCTGTGTGAGTGAGAAAACAAGTTATGTTGCAGGCATCTTAAGTTTATAAACATGCGTTTGAAGAAAAAGAGCTTTGAGCCCATAAGACCTCAACACATGAGAAATATTTTTTCAAAAGAACAGATAAGCTTTAGGCTCCTGGGTTTGTTTTTTTTTGCTGAAAGTTGGTGTTATCTGGGAATTGAGTAGCTGTCCTGTCTGTGGACACTGGAAAATCTGTTCCTGAACAGTGATGCATAGAGAGCCTGTAAGACTTCTGCTCCAGCATATCCAGCCACTTGAAAGTAGGAGGGAGTAATGCTCAGCAGACTTCAATGTAGTTGAGATTTAGGAAGTAATGTCTGGGCTTCAGGGAAAGAGCACACTAACTGATTTGCTGAAAGACATCAGTTTGCCAGCCTAGTCACCTGGCATGAACAAAACACTGGTAGCTACTACTGTTACTTACAGGAGGTAAGTAGTCTGCTCATGAGTTTATCAACAATATATATGTGTGTGTGCACAGTAAGAGGAATATGTGGAACAAGCTATGACAAGAACGGTGTGCAAGCAGTGTTAGTGACAGGACTGGAATTTCTATAGTGTAGTTACTTGATTCTGGTAGTATATATAGAAATCCTAGGAAATCTATATTCAAAATAGTAGTTACTTAAAATTTTCCATGGTCATAGAAAATATTGAAGTCTTGCTAAATGCTTTTGTATTTGGTCTAAAACTGACCTGTCTAAAATTGAAAGAAAAAACTTGTAAACTGGAACCTCTTATAAAAATCTCATGTAAAAGATAACTAGTGTAATTTTAAGAAAATAAGAAGTTTTCCAGGAAATCATCTATTATTTAAGAAAAATAGGTATAGAAGTGTTGTTTTTCCTGTATCTGCTGGTTGTTAATCTAGTGCCCTTGTTAGCTATTTCTATTGAAACAGCTGTGAGAAAATACTTTCTTCCTGGGAACTAGATAAATACTGAGCATTTGATGGAGTCTTCTGTTTGTGTAATATGATCATAGTCCAGTCCTTTGGAACCAAGGTGACTGAAGCTGTTTGGATCTGAAGAAAACTTAAAACTTATTACAGGGAAAAGGAAAAACCTTTGTGGTGATGCTGGTTGCCAAAAGGAGGTGATACTTTTCTTTGAAAGAAAAATGAATGGGCTAGCGTAGGTTTGGGGAAAAACAGAACAACAATGGTTATGTGAATCTGTACTTCACTTGCAAGTAGTTTAAGTTATTGAATGTAATGACCAAGTTTGTGGAAGTATTTGTATTTCTACAAGGGAAAAATGTGTGGTTTTTTTTTCTGCAGTTGATTGCTTTTAGAACTACTCTAGGAATAAGGGAAAAAGGTTGAGAACACCTCCTTTATTTGTAGCTTGGATAAATTCCTTTTTCACCTCAGTTCTCTAGGGGCTTGTTCAGTTGTGTTGTTGGGGTTTTTTTGTTTATTTTCTTGGTTTGTGCTTTTTTATTTTGGGGAGTACGGAGTTTTTGTGGTGATGGTGTTTTTGTTTGATTGTTTTGTGCTTTTTGTTAAGGGCCTTTTATGCAGTTCGGATACATGGCTCTGACGCCAGAGAAAAAAATAATCTTGTTTTATTCCCATTCTAGATTACATATCGATTACGGTATCTTCTCCGAGCAAGGTGTGATGCTTCACCAGTGACTAACAATACCATCCAGTTTCACTGTGATCCTAGCTTCTGGGCTCAAAATATTTTCAATCTAGGTATGATAAAGTTTTATTAGCCCTTTGGCGTCTTGATCCCATTTTGAAAGCAGCTTTCTTTTTGTGAAGATAAATAGCCTCCGCACTATTCAGTTCTTGATTTACTTTGTTAGATTTATTTCCTTGTCTATAGAAGACATTTAAAGCGTGTTGTATGGAGAAAAAGTATTGTTCATGAATACTTATGATAAAGTATTAACAATCTTGCGCTGCTTTAATGGTACATGTGGTGGTAAAAATAGAAACTTTCCGTTTACTGGGCAATACAATGAAACAAGGAGCACAACCTATAACCCTACTTCACATCCTAAGAAAGGATTTCAGAAGTCATCCTCATTCTGCATCTTCCAGCCCTTTCATCTCTTTCAGTCCAATCTTCCCAAGATGAAATCCATAGCAGCAGCATAAATGTCCAAGAACCCCCATTTGCTGCCCTGTCAAGCTGAACAATAAGCCTTGCAGAACTGAGATGAAGAGAAGGGAAGAATATACCAAAGAAAACCAGAATAGCAGGGAAGAGAACACCTTTCTTCATAACTTCAAAAAGTTGTCTGGCTTTTTAGATTGTGAAGTTGTGGGGTGCAATCTTAAGAAAGCATGTTTTTAACAGATTTGCAAATGTACTTCATCTTCATTACCTTAATAGATTTTGATATAGTTTCCAAACTAGTTTCTACATTTTTCTTTTTCTTGCAACCCTGAGTTGCTAGATTTTTATGGTACTGGTGAATTCCAGAACCTGGAAGCTTGTGTGATTGCCTGAAATCCTGAGTTTAATGGAGATAACCATAGGAATTCGTTAGCTTAGGAACAGGAATTAAAACTTAGGGAGCTTTTTAGGTTTTTGACTGCTCTTGTGCTTCCTTTCTCTCTCCATTGGTAGCTTGATGGGCATTTTGTTTTTCTGTCATGTGCAGAATGCTTTGTGAGATACCTGTGAGACCTTTTTCTGCCTTTTATCAGGAAGTACAGTAACCTCTACAGAGGTGCAAATGTGCGATTCTCTACAAAGGTAGAGAAAGAAAGCGTTACAGCAGTGCTTTAAGGTGAACAAGCTCCTTTTCCCACACCCTGGGACATTGGACGGTAGCAGGGAAAGTCTCCAAGTTTCTTCTCTGTAATTTTCTTTGGGAAAGGAACTGAAAGTGGATCTCTTGTTTCCAGAAACAAACTGTCAAGCTGCGTGGTAATAATTGTGAACTGCTGCTAAACTGAAATGATGCTTGCCAAGAGGGGCCTTTTTCATGTGTTTTGTTTTTTGGCTCTTTTAAGAAAATTTGTTTATTCAATGAGATGCTTAAATATGTTCCCTTAAATTCTAAAAAGTGCTACCATAGAGATGACACCTGTATAGATCAACATAGGAGTTCTTGTAACAGTGACAGATAAATGTGTTCTGGTTTTATCTACCTGGTTTCAGAAATCAGAACTTTTAGGCTGTTACGTTTATGGTCAAACATGTTCAATTTCTGTAGATAAACCAGATTTAAGAACCCCTGAAGAAAAAATTAAGTCTGAGTAAAGAAACAACTTGGCTTGAATGGCTTGAATTCTAGTCAGGCTGCATGTTGCTGACAGAGTGATAGCACCTGCCCACTAATAGGATAGCTCTTCAGAATGTATTTAGGGAAAAAAATCACTTAAAATGTTTTGATTCCATAAATTGTATGATAACCCATCGTTGGTTTGCTTAGAATAATGGAAGGGAATCATTCTCAGTACTACCTTTGGGTAAGTAGCTATACCACAGGTCTTAAGTCTCTAAAGACATTTGAAGGTGTGATTAGACTTGGAGAGAACAGAATAAAAGTGTGGTATGGGTTTGACAGTTGACTGTAGTATTGTCAATACCATTCTCTGTCAAGGCAGTTCCTTTTGCAGAGACAGAAAATTAACAGCTCTATTTTGACTGTAGTGGAATATTTCATACAGTTGTGTATAGGAAACAGTAGTATTAATTTTCAGTTTACTCTGCTCACTTTATGGGAAACATGGACTGGACCTGTTACGAACTTAATAAAGGGTGTTAGGGAATAGGTTGGTAGGGTTTTTCAGTTTTAATGTGTTTAATTTCTTTGTTAATAACTGATGTGGTAGAGTCATAATTAAAACATATGCAACACCAAAACTACCAAGTGTCAATATAGGAATAGTATTGTTGATGTTAGCTTTCTGACCTCTTCTGTGCCACATTATGTTGACTGGCCTAGATTCCTTCTGTGCCTGTGTCTAGATGGGGCACCAGGCTGATGCTACTCAGCTTCTCAGCTCTTAGGATGAAAAGAATACGAAATGCAAGCAGTTTTTCCTCCTCCTTCAGATAATCTGCCCCAAAATGAGCAGGCTAAACTGCACAGGATCCACAGAGAGAGGAGGAGAGAAGCTGCAGAGTGATTTCAAGTTTTGCTGTAACAGGGATTGTCAAACTGTCATGTGCCATACCCACCTCATGAAGTGAACTCTCCTGGGAAGCAGCCCTGAATCTCTTGGAGAGAAGGGAGTATGAGTTGTTTATCTCCCACTTGCATTGAAAAGCTGTTGTGCAGCCTTCCAAAAATAACTGGAATTTTTTTAGCTCATCTTGGGCCATAACTTTCCCAACTTAACTGTGTTTTAAACAAAGACAGTGTCTCTATCTTTTACTGTACAGTGTGCTCTTCCCTTGAATCAAACCAAACTCTGTTCTAGTTGGAATTCATGTTTCTTTGGATGAGGTATCCTGAACTTTACATGGAAGTTTTGTGTAACCACGCTATATACGTTTTAAGATAAAATCTGTCACCCAGCGTTCACTTCTAAAAGTTCCTGTCGAGTCATAGTTCCTTCTAAGTCAGTGGAGAGAAAATGTTTCCTGGAGGTGCCCATGACATCCTTGAACTGGTGGTGTGTAGCAACTGAAAGTATCATTTGAGTGTTCCATGATGTTAATTTAGAGGCCAGAAAGATACTGTGATCCTTTAAGTTTTAGGATACAGTTAAGTTTTATTTTTTTTTTATCATTTGGTTTTTATCAGATTGTATCAGGATACCCTTTTCCCTTTGCTCTCTTGCTCTTCTGGAGAGGCCAGGACACTTTTTCTAGGGGAATCTACCATATAGAGGAGGCTGTAACATAAGACAGTTTGCTTCAAAATACACCCATTACTTTTCAGGGAAACAAAATCAATGGGAGCCCTCTAGCTCATGTTTATCCATTCTTTACATTAATGAATGATGACAGCATGGTATAAAAGGAACTAAATGTGGAAAAAATAACATTTTTGCTTATTACAGTATTTTCATATTCTATTTATCTGGTTTAAACTAGGTTCTTTGGTAATTGAAGATAAAGAAACCCCACCACATGTGCCCAAGAACCCTGTGATGGAAACAAACTTGCAGCCGCCAGGCAGCTTACCTTCAAATCAGCTCTCCAAGTTCCCAACTCAGATAAGCTTAGCCCAGCTCCGACTTCAGCACATGCAGCAACAGGTCATGGCTCAGAGACAGCAAGCTCAGCGCAGAGCAGGTCCAGTAAGTTTACCAAATCCAAGAATGCCGGGAACCATGCAGCAGCCTCCAGCTACTCATCAGGTAAGTTATGACTGGTCCCAGAGGAGAGTCTTTTTCCATAGCAGTGAAGGAGAAAATAAAGAAAGATAAGAAAAGAGAAAGAAATTAAGTCTAGATACATAACTACAGATATCTTCATAGCATATGGCTGTGTAAAATAGGTTATGGAACGTTTTCTTCACAGAGAGTTGAATCAGCACTTTAAACTTGCCTGTGCGGTAGCACTTAGCCTACTTTTGTAAATAAATAAAAAACAACATATGTTATCCAACCGTGTATAGTGCTGAGTTACATATTTTGGTTTTTTCTCAAATGATTGAAAGGTGAATCTGTCATTAATTTTTTTCCAAGGTGTTTTTGCACAGAACTTTGTGATTCTCCCATGTAACTTTAAAAGTTGGTAATGCTCTCATTGGCTCTTGTCATGCATCTGCATTTATTATACCAGAATAATTCAAACCCATCTTTTTTTTTTTTAACATTGAAAATCAGAGTGTTGTGCGATCATTCAGATTAACGGTGTGGTACTATTTGCCGGCATCTAATTTTTTAAGGGTTTCAGAACTTTAAAAGGTCCACTTAGTAAAAATGTGTGGAACACTGAATATGTATCACCTAACTTGCAGAATTGTTTGTTTTCATGTAGGCACCTCCACGCTTGATTCATTTTCAGAATCATAGCCCCAAGCCTAATGGTTCGGCTCTTCCTGCACAACAGATGAGACTTCCCCAAACTCAGAACCTACCAAGGCAAGCAGTAAAGCCCAATCCACTGCAAATGGCATTCTTGGCACAGCAAGCTATAAAACAGGTAGAGTTTCTTTCCCTTTTCACTCATCATGTAAAAGTAAAACATCAAATGTGCTTTATATCATCTTACTTTTAGATTATGTTTCTAGAGTGCTTTGCAATTAGAACAGAGATTGCAATTTCTCTATGACAAGATGCTCAGTTTTGTTAATGAGATAACTGTCAAGCTTCATTTTGACAGTTCTAAGCAGCTGAAGCATTACAGAAGTGAGCCACTGTGTGTGCTATGTAGGTGTTTCATTCTCTTGTTTGCTATTACTGTGGTTTTTGGCCACTTATGCAAGACAGCACAGCCTTGGTCTACACACAGCAATCGGTGAATAGCTGAGATAGAAAATGCCTCGCTTTTGCTTGATGCTAATGATTTCGCTAGGAACCAGGTAAAAGCTCGCCAAAAAAGCTATGGCTGCCACCACTGTCCAGAGTATGCCACATATTAACTTTTACTGAGAAGGAGATTAAAAAGAAGTGCACAACTGTGGGACCTCTGCTGAGTAAGTCTTAACTGGGGCAGAAGCAAATACATAATACATTTTCTGGATGCTCAGGAAGGCAGATCCTCATTGAAAAGCATATTAACACGTGAGTTGTTAGCTATGTGGAGGGAAAGAGAAAATCATGTCACTAGAGGTAAGCAAGGAAGAATCAAATGAGACTGATCTGAGACCTGAGAAGTGGAGTAATACTATTCATCTCTGCAGTGCTTATGATGTCAGAGAACTAATTTCAACTAAATTGAAGAAACTGTAAAATATCTTAAGAAAACCTGTAGTAATAAAACTAAGTTACTTGTATTCTCTGCCTCTGAAAAGAAGATTGGCCTGTCTGCAAGTCTTTCTTTCAAGCATTTCCATTATCTAGTAATGTCTTTCTGAAACTAGAAATGAGTAAATAGAATGAGTGATTACAAAGGAATTGAGCAGGATCAAATTTTGCCTACGGTTACCGTGAAATTCCATTAAAGGAGTTGAAAACTGCATATGCCTAAATGAGAAAGAAATTTAGTCTGACTTGACTGTGCACTTCATATCATGGTGTTAAATGTATACGTGGGTGGAAATCCAGTCAGCATTTCAAATTCTTAATCACTTTAAGTTGTTAAGGGAAGCACAACATCAAATACTTGATGGTGTCCAAGTGACACTATAGCTATTTACTTAATAAAGCACTGGAACAGTTGTGCATTCAACCTATTATCTGTAATGCTTTTATTTCACTAAAACTGTTACATTTCTCCCACAACAGTGTCAATGCGACATGAAATATTAATAGATACTTAACATGGAGATACAGCTTTGAATTTAAGAATTCACGTTGATTTCTTCTGTTCAGTTTTCAGCTACTTGTCATCTTCCCTTGTTGTGTAAGATTGGCTGGTGAAATTAGATAACTTCAGAGTAAATTGGGATTTTGTGTTTGAATTCAGCTTCCTGAACTAAGCTGCTTGTTTAACTGCTGAGTTAGAACCAATATATGCAATAGATGTGATCAGTTGGTGGGGCGGAATCAAAATATTAATTGTGGATTGTTGTCTCTTCTTTTTAGTGGCAGATCTGTAGTGGACAAGCTTCAACTGCCCCTTCAACTGCAAGCAGCACAACATCTACTCCATCCAGCCCCACAGTCACTAGTGCTGTAGGATGTGATGGGAAGACATATGGTCCCTCTGTGATAGACTTGAGCTCTCCAGTGGGTAGCTCTTACAACCTACCATCTCTTCCTGATGTAAGTGTAACATAAGAGCGATGTTTGGTGGATTCTATTTTGAAGTAAGTCTTAATATTTGTGACAATTGGAAGCCTTTTAGTCTGAAATTCTTGCTCTGTCAAAGGAGTTGAAGAAAACAACAGTGCAGGATTGCCTACATGTTTCTGGCAAGGCTCATAACTATTCTGGGAGACAGCTGTTAGGACAACTAAGAAAAATAATATTGCAGGTTGTAATTGGACTTGTTTATTTGGATGGTGAATGTTTTTCCCTCACCCCTCATAATGATACTAACAAAAATGAATTGGCGTAGCAGTGTCCATGGATAGCACTGGTTTGCTGATGATATTTCTGGTAATTATAAAATATTTTTAAATATATTTTTAATTCATCAAAAGGTCTATCTTAGGTAGGTATTAACTGTTGGTATAGTAGATATATTCCATTTATCTTTTCCTTTTGGTATTTTTTTTTTCATATATCCTCTAACATGCCTGTGAGCTGGTGATAGAGCTTCATAAGATCATCTTTTCTTAAGCTTCTGACCTTCTTCTATTGTAGTTTAAGCCCAGCTGGTAACTCAGAACCCCGCAGCTGCTCGCTCACTCTCTCCTTCTTCCTCCCCCTGCTCCTGGAGGGATAGGGAGGAGAATCAAAAGAATGTAACTCCCACAGGTTTAGATAACAACAGTCCAGTATCTAAGGTATAACACAGACCACTACTGCTACCACCAGTAAGAATAGCAATGAGGGAAATAACAAGGGAAGAGAATACAGCTGCTCACCACCTGCCAACCAATACCCAGCCCAACTCAAGCAGTGATCTAGCCTTTCTGGGTAACTGCCCCCAGTTTATATACTGGGCATGACATGCTGTGGTATGGAATACCTCTTTGGTCAGTTTGGGTCAGGTGTCCTGTCTCTGCTTCCTCCTGACTTCCCCTCCTTCCTGGCAGAGCGTGAGACTTGAGAAAGTCCCTGCTCAGAGTAAACATTACTGAGCAACAACTAAAAACATCCAGGTTATCAGTGTTGTTCCCAGGCTGAAAGTCAAAACCACAGCACTGCACCAGCTACTAAGGAGGAGAAAAATGTTACTGCTGAACCCAGGACATATTCATAGTTTCTTCTTATCGGTGCATGTTTTTCAGAGGTGCATGTTAGCTATTGGGTTCTGGTCAGCTGACTTTATTCTTTCAAACAACTGCCAAGCCCATTTTTGTGGTCTGAGGTTTGTAGATACCTGAAATGTCATGGTTTTCTAGTCATAACTTACTGTTACTCCCTCTTTTCCCACCTGTTACCTCAGATAAGTGTTATTTTTCTTTAAATAGAATACAGAAACGCACTATCTATCAGGCTTAAAAGAGGAACTACACTACACGATCATAAAACTACAAGTATACACATTAGTTTGAGATGCTTTAGTATACTGATTTTTGTACACAGTATTATGAACTCTTCTACTGGTGAAGTTTATGCTATCAAAATACATGTCCCAAATCGCTGTAAATATGCTGGTGGCCTAGCTGAGGCTTTGGTGTCTGCTTCTGGTAAATATAGCTTATAAATAGAAGTTTCAGTGGTCAGTGCAGTTTATACCAGTGAATTTGTGAGGTGTCTGAATAATTGAGGTATCTGGATAACTGAGAACTTACACCAAGGTAACCTATATATACTTAACAAAAATAACCCTGTGTATTGCAAAACGCCCTAATATTTCAAAAGGTCTTTTCTCTGCATCAAACCAGAATGCATAATTTTTACAGAAAGTTAGAATGATAAATTGGGAGTCCTTAAAACAAGTTCAGTTGTCTGGCCTGAGCTGTGGGTGGAAAGAACAAGTGCTGGTTTGCCGTTCGCATTTTGAATCAGTATGCATGGCCGCTGCCCAAAAGGTATGTGGGACAGATGGAATTGAGTGTTCTTTGATGTTCTTCCAGTCCTGTTAAACACTAGTGGATTAATGGGTAGTTTGTGTATTGCTTATTACCTTTTATTTATTTATTTTTAGAGTATAGAAGGTGAGTATGTCAAAAAAAACAAGTGTGGAGATAAAAGTTTGTCTCGTACTTCAGTGTGTGAAAGGTAGCTGTCTGATGTAAGCCTCCTCTGTAACTGATGGAGAAAAACTGGCACTTAAAGAAATACCTGGTCTTAAAACAAAGCACTGTCTGGATGGGGCCATTTCTTTTCATTTTAGAGAAAACAAGGTGACCTGTTTTAAAGTAACCATCTCATTTTTTGGATGGCCAGAGCTAGGTGAAATGCATTCTGGTCTTCACCTTCAAAGTAACAGGATGGCAGAGGCATGGGATGCTTTGTTGTTGGAGGAGGTGTGTTTTGTGGTTTATTTTTCTTTCCCCCATCTCAACACTGAACTGCTTTCCCTCTCTTCACCCACCTTTTAGATTGATTGTTCAGGAAACATCACACTGGATAATGTTGTAAGGAAGGATGGCACTGCGGAGCAGAATCAGCCAAAACCCCCTTCAAACAGGACTGTACAGTCACCAAATTCATCGGTACCGTCACCAGGACTCTCGGGTAACTGCAGTGTAGTGCAATTTCCCGTTTAAGTAGTGTAATGGAAAAATGTCATGTGGCAGTGTTAACGCTGGTAATGAAAATAATGCAAAGTTGTAGAAACCCTGGTAAGGGGTAAAGTTGAAGCAATATTTTAGTGTTGTGATCAAAAATGGTCAGATCTTAAAAATGTGAAGGAAAAACAGTAGATTTTCTCAAATTGCACAAAAATTTATAGGAAAATGGTAGTTAGGGGTACACCAAATTAAAACCTGTAAGCTGTAGTAAGAGACCAGTATTTGAAAAAGCAAGATAGGATGTAACAGGAGGCAGTGGGTACAAACGGTAACTTGGGAAGTTCAATTTGGATATTAAATTTTATATTTTTTTTTACTGGAAGAGTAGTGCAGCAGTGATAAAGGTTAATAAAAGTGATTGTTGTGGGTAGCTAAATGTGGTGGAGTTGAAGGACCCAGGGGATTCCTGTCACCATGGCTGGCGACAGTCAATAGCTGCTCCTTACTCCCATTTCCTGATCTGACCTGTAGTGAGCCTCTGGGAGCGTGAATTCCCAATCGGCACTTGTGTAACTTTCATGCACTTACATGATGTTTATGTGCTTAGGAAGATTAGCTGAGACAGGTGAATAATGCATTCACAGGTAGCACAAACAGCCCGATCTGGTTTCTCAGGATCAATGCTTTGCAAAAATACCCTTCATAAGTCTTTCGGCTATCTGGTTCCCATACCCTTGGTCTCTCTCATATCTGACCTCTAGACTTCTTCCTACTTGCTAGCTTGTCTGGCTTAAAGTTTCCTAGCAGGTGTCCTGAGAGATCTGTTAGACTTTAATAAGGTAAGACAAAACAAGCTGCAGTGATCAGGTGGGGGGCTCAGCCAGGCAAAGATACTAACCATTAGCTTGCTTACCTGCAATGGGCCCCTTTTTTAATCCTCTCTTTGCCTCTATTACCCCATGCTTCTCACCCTGTCATGCATTTGTATTAAATGAGACATGGATTAAATACACTGCATGAGAAATTTTCCCCAAAACTTGTGTATTTGAGTCAGATCTCAGACTTGGCACAGACCTGTGTTTTGTTCTAATCTGATTCTTCTATCCTAGGAGGAGTCAGTGTGACAAACATAAACCCTCCAATTCGTTCACCCAGTGCCTCCAGTGTTGGGAGCAGAGAGAGGTAAGGACAGAGTGGGGGAGAAGAAAATGTAACTTCAGTCTTCATAGAACATGCCTCGGTCTCTTCTCTCATTCATGCATACAGAAGTCAATTTGCCTCACCTTCTCTGTTAAGAGGCCAGGCATGATGGTTATTACAGCACTCTTTGCATTCTAAAAGTAGTAATTTCATTTGTAATGTATTAATAGCACATTTGAAAACATGAACTCTGTAAATGATGGCTGGGTTGGCGTTAGTAAAAGAATTCTAAATTAGATTTTAAATTCAGAAAAATCTGCTAAAGGAAAAAGTTGCATATTGAAAGTCCTCATGGAACTATAAATTACTTCAGATTTAAGGAACTGATGCTACAAAGAGTTATTTAGAATGTTCTGCCATAATACAGTTAGTTAAGTGAGCACTAGCTATCTGCTGAGAGTCTACACAAATGTTTTTATCCCTCAGTGATGGAATATTAATGAACAAATGTATTTACACAATGTTGTTTGAAGAGTGCAGATCCATTAATGTGTTTCAATAAATTAGAGCATACATCTGACATGAGATTAATTTTTCATGCAGAGAAAAATCAGATGACAGTCATCCTGCTTAAATTGGAAATGCAGATGCTTTTTAATATAGAATACCTTTTGTTCTATTCCATTTACACGGTAAATTCTGTGAAGGACTCTATGAGCTGTTTGAATGTTCATCTGAAGAGTCTTTCACTCGAATTTAAAAAATGTGACTATCTGCTGCTGCTTGAATTAATTTTGTTAGATTTAAAGCTCTTCATTATTATTAAAAATAATAAGCTGGTATTTTTGAGTTGGGATGTCAATTCTCATCCTATTACTACTAAACACGTGAAAAAAAGGTAGATCTATTTCTAAAAGTAGGGCCTCAGTTTTTTCAGAGCAGCAAGGCTGTAAGAAATTCTTCCAAGATAATGTAAATATGTTTTATCTGTCACATTCACTTGGGTGGTTTACAATGATCAGTTCGGCTCTGGAGAAACACTAGCCTTTCTCAAAATATGCTGTATCCCCTCCGAAGTGGGATGATATTCAGTGGAAGTGGGTTTTTTTGTGTATGACCTTAAAGAAACAGATTATTTGCAAATCTTGTGCTAATGGGAAGTCAAGCCATGAGTAGTTTTCCAATTCTGGAACTGCACCACTAAAATTTTCCCTTTTTGTAAAGCATTTTCCATGTACATTAAAGGGAATAAACTTGGATGTGCTGTTATGTGAAAGTAATACTGTAGTGCTCAAAAGTCAAAGAAGCAAAATGGATTAGCATCCTGAGATCTCAGAAACCATCAGTGTACCAAAGATGTCCAGTTTTGACTCAGTTTCCTCTTTTTTACTACTTTATTCTGTCATTTACAGTTCTGGCTCCTCCAGCAGGCCACCAAGAGCTGATTCTACACACAAAGTCCCGGTTGTTATGTTGGAGCCGATCAGAATTAAGCAGGAGTCAAGTGCATCAAATGAGAACTTTGATTTCCCAATTGTTATAGTGAAGCAAGAAACAGAGGAGGAATCCCGGCCTCAGAATGTAATATTAACAGTTATAAAGATCTCCTTTCTCTTTGGAGGGTGTTTTGCACGTCTGGGGAATAAGATAATTTACTAATACTCTGTTGGGGACTTTTGAAGGGGAAAACTAAAAAGCTAAATAAAAGGAAGAGGTGAAATTCAAAATCAAACTAGCTCTACTGCCAATTCAATTAACTGGTGTGATCGGGGTGCTTTTATCCATTGAAAACCTGGGAAAGTAGGAAATTGCTTGCAAGCAACAAATTTTTGTGTGCTAGGAAGTGTTTCTAATACGTAGTAAACTAATATATGTGTGTATATATATATATATGATTGCTAGACTTCTGGAGCATCAAAGATTTAGGTTTTATTAGTGGAGCAGTAAATAGCCTTTTATACTGAATTTCGCATGTTTAGTTGCTTGATGTTATACTACAGAAGTAACTTTTGGATGTATATTGCAAGTTGCGTGGCTGCTTGTGTATAAATTTGTTATTCTGCACAGTTTACTACGTAAATTCACATAAATACTATAATTTGGCTTCCTCTGTGTCTTCTTACAGACCAACTTTTCAAAAAGCATACTTACTTCATTGCTATTAGATAGCAATAATAATGCCGCTTCTGATGAAGCTGTGTTAAGAACAGATGCACCAGACAGTACAGATGATCAACCAGGGATACTGCAGGAGAACTCATCCAGTGGGAAGACAGGATGGATAGGCCCCTCTCACACAGGGGAGGGCAGAAAAGAGGATGATCCCAATGAAGATTGGTGCGCAGTATGTCAAAATGGAGGGGAGCTCCTTTGCTGTGAGAAATGTCCCAAAGTATTCCATCTATCTTGTCATGTCCCTACGTTAATGAGCTTTCCAAGGTAACTATGACCCCTTCCATTCCGTATAAACTTGCATTAAAAGACACAAACTTTGCATTGTGAAATCCAGTACAAGAAGTTTCAGCTCAGAGGAAGCAGTGGTGTTTTTGAAGTCCTGAATCCAGAAGTTTTAGTAGCTGGTGAAAATTGGAAATTACATTGAAACTTCAATTTCACTTTCTTGTGCCTGCAAAATCTGTGACAAAGTCCTTCACTTATTTTACAGTTAAGCAATATCACTTAACATCTAGGGCATCTGTTGTTAAAACTAGGCCACAGAATTACCAATCCATCATAGATGTTTTAAGGGTGATGGAAAAGATTTACATTTCTTTAATAACAATAAAAAACTTAAAGAAAAATCCAAGCCAATATAGTATTAAATATATCATTTACTATGGTGCTAAACATGGCTGTACTCCAAGCATGGGATGTAGTGACTGACATCTAGTAATATCTCGGTCAATGTTGAAACAAGCAGCAGGCTTTCTTGATTGGCTGTTACGAAACAACTACTCAGTTTCTTGAGTTTCAAAATACAGCCTTAAATAGGTTGTTCTTACAAGCATTACTGGCATTTGCTTCTGGAATTAGTGTCTTTGATGAAAATAAATGGCATTTTGCAATGTTCCAACTTGGAAATGCCATGCAATAAGCTTATTAGTATTAAAGGATAAAAACATCTGTCATAACATGCTCATTGTTTAATGCTTTTATAAATATTAGGTTTCATTATTAAATATCAGCATAGTTTTCTGGAGTAAAACATTTGGATAGCAACTTAGTTTTTGATCATCTGTGTGCTACTCTGAGCAAGCATACTTTTGCAAGCATATCCGCTCCTTTAAATGTCAGTTGAAATGGCACATGAAAATGTTTCCTACCTTTTGAAGCTTCAGATTACAGTTTGGGGTTTTCGCTTGGGTTTTGTTTGTTTGTTTTAGTAAAATGATGCTACCTTACAGCTTTGTGCCATAAACGAAACCTAGCAAAGTTACAGTAAGTACTTAAACTAATAAACATTTGTGCCTGACAAGAAAATAGAAATCTTCAGGCAGGTAGGAAAAAATGTATTTACAAGGCTTTGTTTCTATGAAAATTAAAGCTTCAAGAGTAAGACTTTAAAATTTCTGTTTTTACTGGATCACTCTGTGGGAGCCAAGATGATGATATCTGGGGGAAAGGGAAACAAAATCAACTTTTCTGACACCCGTTTAGGTCTCTAAAGGTGCATATTGGCACAAGTGCGCTTTGTTCCTAGACTTCAGAACCATCTTAAGTTAGCTTTAGATGTATCAGGGTTTTGTTCTCATCTTTGTGGGTTTTGTTTTCTTTTCAGCTGTAACATTCTACTTAACAAACTTTGGTCTCTTGGCATTAGTTCCTTCAAACACACAAAACTATTCCTTTATTATTGTGTCAGCAGTGTCATTCTGCTTTAGTGATAGCTTTTTGTTCTTGCTTCAGGTGGATAGAACAATTTCATAGAACCATAGAATCACAGAATGGTTTGGATTGGAAGAGACCTTTAAAGGTCGTCTTATCCAACCCCCTGCAATGAGCAAGGACATCTTCAATTAGATCAAGTTGCTCAAAATCCTGTCCAACCTGGCCTTGAATGTTTCCAGGGATGGAGCTTTGAGCACCTCTGCAACCTGTTCCAGTGTTTCACCACCTTCACCCTACAAAAATTCTTAGTTCCATCTAGTCTGAATCTACCTTCCTTTAATTTAAAACCATTACCACTTGTCCTATCACTGTTCTTATAGATTCACAAGGTCACTGCATATTTTCTTCCTTCGCTCCAAATCGCCACAATTTTCTGATTCTTGAATATTTAAACACCTCATTCTGCCTTCTTTCATGTTTCTTGTTTTCTTGTATCAAAAGATCTTTTAGTCATGGCCTATATCAATTTTTGTATGTCTGCCACATTTGTGAGATGCTAGGCACAGAGGTGACACTGTCACATAAATAACTCCATCCAGTTAAGACAGTAGAAGGTAAAAGTCTCTGAGGTAAGATGCCCATTGCTCACTTCTGTGTGCTAAAACTAGCAGATGGTGGAAATTCTTTGACTACTCTGAATAAAAACCAGTAAATTTTTTTCTTTTAACTTGGAAAGTCCCCTACTTTACTATTAAAATTAATTAAAAGGTGCTGCATAAACTATTTCCCATATTATAATATACCCCTGAGTAACTAACGCACAGAGCTCTAAACTGGCTAGTGCTGAATTCGACTATAAGAAGTACAATTCAGCCCTCTTGTGGTTATCTGCAAGCATGCAAGCTTCTTCATTTGTGGAGAAATACATCAAAACCAGAGCTTTCATAGCTTCTTCAATACTTTGTGGTTCAGAAATTGTGTTACAGAATCAGTTAACATATCTTGCAGAACTAATTTTGTCCTAATCTTATGTTGTCATTTAAATCTATAGGTTTTTCCTAGATCAACTGATAAAATCGGAAATGTGAAAGTTTTAGGGAGTGAAGAATTCCTAGTTTTCCAAAAAATCTTATCTAGGGCAATCTATATAGAGTAGTAACACATTGTAGATCAAGCTTTTAGAAATAATGTATAGTTCTCACAATAGAACGCTTTTTCCTTCTGTTTGGCCTATACTATTCCTTCAGCATCTGTAGTTAGGCAACAAAACTCTTAATAGTGCTTTGCTTGAATATTGCGAGTTCAAGTGAAATATTTCAGTACTAACAAAAGTAGACACAGTTTGTCTACTATAACAAACCTTTTTTCTGTTATGACACCTTTAATGACACCAGTGCCATTAAAAAGCAAACAAAGTTCTAATAAAGCATTTTTACCAGTCATCTCTGCCTTTTTGTAGTGTTCAAAAAACCACCACCACCAAAACAACACATGATACGGGGGGGGGGAAAGAACTAACACCCCACAAATGAGCAACTTACTGAATGCAGAAATATATGGAAAGCCTTCTGTTGGGAGTGTGCTATAGTCATTGAGATCAGTGTGCCTGTCTTGTTTTTAGTGGAGAGTGGATCTGCACATTCTGTCGGGATTTGTCCAAGCCAGAAGTTGAATATGACTGTGATAAACCTGCTCACAGCTCGGAAAAAAGAAAACTGGAAGACACTGTGGGTTTGGCACCAATAGACCGCAGGGTAAGGATAAAAGGAGTACTGTCTTGCTGCTGCTTGTATTCTGAAATGCATTCATCTTTCTAAAGGTGGTGGTAAGAAAGGAGAATTAACTTCTTGAAATAAGCTCTGCGATCATAGCAGCCTTCATGTAAACATGCTGAAAAACACATGAATGTCTGAGGAGTGGTTGTGGTCTGGTGCTCTGAAGTGGGAATGTGTTCTAGGAATTACCAGGTGCTGTTTCTAACAGAGCTCTTGTACACGGTGACTTTGCACTGAGAATTTTTTTCTTTGTGCTTTCCAAATTTGGCGTAGGTTGATGTTATCAACTGATGGCTTTAGTCTTTAAAGCACTTTGTCAGGATCCTTACATAAAATTAAGGTGGCTCTTTCACAATGAAGATATACAGAGATACAATACTGATCCTCCAGAGATTAACACAAGAATAACTGCTGTCCTTTTGCAGCTTTGAATGTTACTGTGAAAAAAGCGACAAAGGAAGCAGTGGGTCTCACAACTTCTTTTTTTCCCCCTTATGTCTCGGTGTTAAAAGAAAGAAATTGTGTCTATGAACATTTGAGCAGACAGCGGAACTGCTTAACAGAGTCTTTGGGGGTCGTGGGGACTTTGGGAAAGGGGGTGTTTGCCTTTTTTTTTTATTTTTCTTTTATTTGTAGTTGTGTGGTGGTGGTATTATTATTCAAAACTTTTTTAAGCAATTTTGAGCTCTGTTGAAAACTTTCAGCAGTGTTTTACTTGCTTTCAGTTGGCAAATACACTGAAATTCATAGTTTATGTGGGGCCTTTATCTACCTACCATTATTTACATGTGCTGCTATCTAAAAGAAAAAAGCTAGCTCCATCTGTGTTTTGTCTTAAATATAAATTATAAAAATGAAAGTTATAAACTTGTTGTAAATATTCCAATAAGAGACCAGCAAGCATAAAATCACAAAACTATTTTAAGAACTTGAGTATCGAGATCCAGTTAAATATGTTTAAATACTCAAAGAAAAGAGATTCCTTCCCACTGCTAACAAAAACACTGCAGGCTTTGCAGTTACAGAGCAGTTCTACCCAGACCAGGAAAAACATTATAGCTATCTCTGAATATTTGTAAAGCACTGAGAGCCATGCATGCTTTTATTTATTCCCTTGAATGTCTGCTGGGCTCAGCAACTGCTGAATAACACCGTTAGTAACTGTATGAGATTTCATAGCTTGCATTTGAGAGTTGATAAGGATGTAACTATTGCCAAGAAGGAATACTGCAGTTAATCTTGCTTCCAAATACAATTTCTGTGCTCACTTTTCTATTTAGGTCTGAGGGAGTACAGGGCATGTGTTTTGTATTTTCTGTAGCCTGTTACTTTAGAACAAATCATGCAGGTTTCTCTAATAACTTGTGTACCTATTTTTCTTGTCACAGAAGTGTGAAAGACTGTTGCTGTATCTCTACTGTCATGAAATGAGTCTTGCTTTTCAAGATCCCGTTTCTCCCACAGTACGTACCTTGCTTCTTTCCATTTTATGTTAAGAAGCATAACTGGCATGTTTTTAATGGCATTTTTATGTCTTATCATTATGAGCAGTTGTTTCCCAGACATTGAGTGTATTAAATGTGTTTTTATTAATACTGTCTGAAGCGCAGTTAAAAGTTGAAGCACTGGGTTGGAAGGTGATTGATTTACTAGTAAAATTCCTCAAGAAGTGATTTTACTTAATACCTCAAATGTGGACAGAAAAAGTAAGTTCTAAGCTGGTTTCACAGTTCTGAGTGATCTCACTGAAAAGGTGGAGTATGTTGTTTGGTTGGGTTTCTTTATTTTTTTTTTCCTATTTACTTGAGTTTGAGAATTAGGATACTCCATAATACTAATATGATACTGAATTTCTTTGTTGCTAGCTTGAAATGTATTAGGTTAAGATGGTAAACAATACCTAGGTATATTGGAAATCCAAGGGTGCCCAGAAGAGTTACCAGCATGATCAGGTGAAAAATGCCTCTTTTATGTTCTTCAAGACAAGTCAATGGGAAAGAACTCATCAATAAGTAATATGCTCCTATGCACTCTTTTTATTCCATTTGAATAAGGATTTTTCTTTTGGAGAACATTCAGCAAAGTTTAATAATAAGAAATGACACAAGAGATTAATTCATATAATGGTCATGAAATAGTAAATTCAGGTACTATAACATTAAAATATTAATATCTCTCTCTTAAAATGTGAATTGACTTAGAAAAAATGTATAAAACCATTATAATTGGCTTTCATACCCCATTTTATAATTTCTAATTATTTCTAAAGAAAGAATAAATCTTAATCCCTACCTCCACAGTTTGAGTGCCAAAATCATCTATTTATCTCTGAAATTTGCCACCATTTCCAAGGGCGTATTTCATTAATTTGTATTTTTGAATGCATTAATTCATAATGCATTCAGAAAATTCATTTTAAGCAACCAATGTACCATCCCCGTTTGAGTGGGTTGCCAGAGTTTCCATATGGTGGTCTTGAGAGTGAAACTTAATAGATGGCTCATTTGACTACATCCAAAAACAATGTCCAGATCGCTTCCTCTGTTGTATACAATCAGTGTAGGTGGGGGCTTATTTGTTTGGGTTGGTTTTTCTTTTTTAATTTTAAAATAGGCAGGAGTATATTTAGGCAGCAAAACTAGCCTGCATCACTGTTAATCCAGACACTGTGTATATACATTAGAAGTACAATTCTTACCTCTTAGAACTGTAATTTGAAGATGAGACTAAATCTTGCTCTCTCCCTCAGAGGCAAAGGTTTATAAAACAGTAAGTAATGAATGTGACTGCGTTCAGTAAATTTTGGTTTTCTCCATTTAGGTTCCTGATTACTACAAAATAATCAAAAAGCCTATGGACTTGTCAACCATCAAGAAAAGACTTGAAGTGACCAATTCATTCTACACAAAGCCAGAAGATTTTGTGGCTGATTTCAGACTGATTTTCCAAAACTGTGCTGAATTTAATGAGGTTAGAAAAGTAGATACTTTATCGTGTTTTGTAGGCGTAGTTTCTTTTAGGAAAACTGTAGTGGGGGGTAGAACTTACAGCATAAGAATTAACTGTGTTAAACTTAGTTTGATGAGACTGCAGTGAAAACATCACATTTGAAACTGCTGGGGTGCTAGGTTACTGTGCAGTGGAGATCTTTCCACAGAAGGAAGGAGGACTGTAACAGACATGCTAGCTGGATGGCAGGATAGCAGGTAAAGAATAGGATGATTTTTTTATCACAAAGATTAATGGTGGCCATTTGATTTTTAAAAAATGGTTTATTCCTCCTTGCCTCAAATATTAAATTCAGTGGGTTTTTAATTCTGGGAGGTCTGTACTCACCCTTATGATTTGTAGTTGCATGTTTAGTGATTGATATTACCCTCACTGCGCATAAGGGAACACATGGTGAAAAAGGAATGCGGATAACTGAGTGAATCAGACATTCCAAAGCATGGTAGCATCCTGAAGGCGTACCTGTGTATTTCACGGCATAACCCAACTTTCCTCTTTATTTATTTATTTATTTATTTTCCAGTAAGGATCTAAGAGTTTTTAGAATCTCTGTATATAGCTTTCAGGATGCCAATATGGCTTTTGCAGTTGGCTTCTGTGATAATCCGTCAGTGAAAAAAGTCATTGGAGGTGTTGGCCAAAAGATCTGTCCTTACCCTCTGTTTTGCAGGCTTGTGGTCTTTGGGACCAAGTGTTCCACAGGTGTCATTCTTACTGCTGATTGGGTTTTTGGGAGTGGTTTGTAAGAGCACCTAAAAGACCAAATGTGAATTGCTTATAAGCCTATTTTGTAGTGCACTGATGTTGTTAATTCACCCAACAGCCCGATTCAGAAGTAGCTGATGCTGGCATGAAACTTGAAGCATACTTCGAAGATCTTCTAAGGAACCTTTATCCTGAGAGAAAGTTCCCCGTACAACCCAATTGCCAGAGTGAAAAAGATAATCCAGAACTTACTGGTGACTCAGATGATGATGTTGTACAGCCCCGGAAAAAACGCCTCAAAGGAGAAGACCGTCAGTCGCTCAAATGAGCTGCATGTGTTGCTATGGGACTTCTTAAAAAAAGACTAAGGGTCTTTTATCGCTTAAAAAAGACTAAGGGTCTAATATCACTGTTAATTGTGAAAAGGGGAAAAGTCATAACTGCTTTGACTTGCATTGTCTGTGGGTATTCACTAGACTTTCTACCCCTTGTCTGAAACACAAATTTAATGGTGATCAAGGCACGTGGAGAGCTCTGAAGTTCCAAGCTTTCGTCGTACTTCTGGAACAGCACAGAAATAGAAATTTGCGTGGCATGACAGCTGTTCAACTTTACTTTGAGGAAGAAAAGAAGTTGTATAGAACTGAACTTCAAAACGTTACATGGGTTCAACATGTGGCTTTCTGAGTTTGAAGAAAATGTGATCTCACCGGACTTTTAATTTTACCAAAGGCATGTGGCTGGCCATAATTTGATTTCTTTGTACTGTATTTAACACAAGCCATGAGAACAGATGGTGTAATATTGTCCTGCAATACTGACTCGTACAATGAAAGTGTAGTTACCCCCAAAGAAGTTATTGGTAATTTTAAAATGTAAGGGAGAGTGTATTAAAAATAACTTCAAAAGAAAAAGAAAAGAAAAAAAAAGGAATTTGTTTGGGAGTTTTTAATGGAGGAAGTAAAGGACAATACTTCGATTTGCGCCATTTTTCTCACCACCAGCAAGAAACAGTAGTATTTCTGTACTATTTTTGTTAAATGGTGTCTCAAGTTTTGATGTATTTCTGTTTAATGGAGTTGACAACAAAGTTTTGAAGGGAAAAATGTTTGCTTGCAACTATCAGCCAGTCTTTGTGTGTGTTTAGAATGGGGGGCAAGGACATCTTTTTTTAGAATGGGGGGCAAGGACATCCTTTCTGTCCACAGGTTCTTGTTTTTCCAAATTTTAGAATGCAACCACCATCATTATTCACTTGGAAATACGAAGTTTGAAGAGGTAGACAAAAAAAAAGGAAGATGCTGCCCTCTGACCCTTCATCTGTCCCTGCTAAAATTACCAGTAGGTGAGGACAAATGACCTTTTTCAGTTCTGTCTACTTCCCGGAAGCACTGACAACAAGATCCATGGTTGTTTCTGCCCTCAGAGATTGCAGAGTTAAAGAAGTACTTTGCCTCTTGTTGCTGTAGCTAGTGGTTTATATTTTTAATCCGTTATCTTAAATGGAAACTGCATTGTTGTGAGTGCAAGCAGTCCTTTGGGTTAACTGAGCTCTGGTGTGCTAGAACTTTGCAGATGGACTTGTGAAGACATCTGAGTGTACACAAGCCTGCTTCCGATTTGCTATGTAGCGCTGATGTGGTGCTGTGCATAGATCATTGAGGAGACAGATAAAAGTGCTGCTTGTGCCTCCCTGCTGTGTACATATGCACTCAGAAAAAGGCCCTTTTTTTCCCTCTCACCCGATGAGATACTGTCCACCTGCCTTTGTTGTAGGGTGGCACTGCCTGCTTAAATGTAGTGGACTCCAAGAAAAGAACACTTGGTTGTGTTTGCACAGCCTTTGAAGTAGCTTTTGAAATTGGTTGATTTTTAAGCTGCCCAGAGGAACCATTAATTTTCTTTTTCCTTCTTGTTTTGTTGTTATTTTGTTCCTTTGGTTTGGTTGTGTTTTTTTGTAGAAAGTTTTTATTACCTGGAGAAAGTTGTTTGCAGCAGGAATTTTACCATCACAACAGTACCAAAGAAAGAATAGAGGTGAAGGAGCAGAACAAGAAGGTGACCATTCTAACAGAACAGATGTGATCAGTGCACACTGCAGTAGCACAGACTTAAGAAACAAGAGGCACTACCACTGCAACATTTGATATCTTAAAGATCTGGCAATGCCTGGAAATCCTATATACCTTGTCATGAAGTTTAACAGTGCTTCCAGAGGAAGGTGGTGCATGTTTCTCTGGACCGTAAGTTGCAAGCACAGATTTATTAGGTGGCTTGTTGCGTTTAGAGGTGAAGTTAGACACCTTTACAGCTTCACACTCAAGTTCTTCTCCCAGTGCAAGATATGGGGGAGAAGAGCATATAGGTGGTCCTGCAGTACAGTTGCTTATCTGTCTGCTGTAAACTGTTTGAAACTGTCTTGTTTAATCCACTGGAAAAATCTGACTCAACCTTCATTTTGTGCTCTTGAATGTCACCCTACGAATCCTCAGAAATTGTCTCTGCAGTGAGGTTTTTGAGACGTTAAATTTAGCTACTTTAACACAGGTGCTATAGGCACAAATAGTTGAGGAAGGCAATTTTATTTTTAAAGTACTACGTTCTTTCAAGCTGCTATGGCAAAGACTGCATCTACTTTAATGTATTTTTTCCCCCTTTGCCTCAGTCCACTGAATGGTGATTGTTTTCCTTTTTTTGGGGGGTGGTTTGGTTGGTTGGTTTGGGGTTGGGTTTGGTTTTTTTTTTGCTTGAGGGGTGTGTGTGTGTGTAATGTGACTACTAATAGTACTGGTAGTAAAGAGTCTTCATTTCACTTCACGGGACAGGTAGAAAGCGTCTGTTTATTGAATCTTAAGAAGGGGATTGCCCTTGAGAAATTTGCCATTTGTCTATACAATTCATAGCTCTTGCACTGTTCGCTTGCCATTTTTAATAATGGAAGTAGTATGGAGAAATAATCAACATCAAATGCAGCTGCCAGGAAATGACAGATTCCAAAGGTTTATTTTTCTTTCCAACCTAATCCAACATCAAACACTCGCTTTCATTTTACTTGCTAAAAAGGGGAAAGAAAAGAAAAACATAAAATTAATAAAATGCACATGAAAACCAACAGAAATATGAATGCAGGGCAAAATAATGTGCATTTGGATCTGCCCAAATGCTGTTGCCCCTTGAGTGCTTTGAGAGAGGACTGATGAGTAAATATGCTTTTTAAATAGCATTTTCTAGATTTCACAAAGTTACTTACAGAATTTTTATTTTGTTGTTTAAAATAGCTCTAAATGAAGGAACACATCTATTGTCTGAAGCCTTAGGTCTAAATATTAACATAGAATGGTTTGGTTTGGAAAGGACCTTAAGATCATCCAGTTCCAAGGGACACCTTCCAATAGACCAGGTTCTTCCAAGCCCCATCCAACCTGTCCTTGCACATTACCAGGGATGAGGCAGCCACAGCTTCTCTGGGCAACCTGTGGCAGTGCTTCACCACCCTCACAGGGAAGAACTTCTTCCATGTTAACAGAGCTTTTACATTATGTGTTTGAATTCTTGTATGGGTTGGATGACTGTTGTGTGAGGCCTTTGGACAGTATGTTCAGTAGTCATGATTCAGCAATCCCTGAGGGACTACGTACACAAAACGTAATCTCTGAAATGACCATGAGATGAGAGCTAGCAAGTTCAACTTTAGATCTAAGGGCAACTTCCCAGAGTACACAACTAATTCTGCAGGTTTTTATTATCCCATCCTTTCGACTTGTGCATGTAAAGGCCAGCAGCTGGAGCTTGTAACTCTGATTTGTAGCAAGGAGAAGAATAATGCTATTGAGCAAAGTCTGCAGGAAAAGGGGGGTTCCTGTTAAGGAATCATTGCACTCCCATTTATCTTGACCACTCTTAGCCAAAGTTAATTCAACTGTAGTCAATCAAAGCTTTCCTTCAATGTCTAAAGCAGTTTTAATGAAGTGTTTTGCTTAGTAATTATTGTAAATCCAACCATTTGAAAGCTTAAGTGGCTCTCTGGCCGCTGTGCATGTGGTTGAATTTCACCCACAAGGGAAGATTAAGTTGCTTTGTCCACTTCCTTACTTAACCTTTTATTTTTATTCCCCCCCCCCCCCCATATATTTTACAGAGTATCATACAGATATTTTAAATGGCATAAAAACATAGAAGTCAAGCATTTCTAAAAGATAACCATTTAAAGAAGCAGGCAATGATTAATATGTTGTTTTTCTGAAAGCCCTAAGGTCCCAGTGAGAAAACCTTAGATAAGGCCCAGTGAAGTTAAGTATGTGCATATATGTAATAAGTGTGTATGTCTGGCTTTTCAAAAGTGTAGTGCTAAAGCCCACATAAAACAGTTTGTTCAAACATCTGTTTTGCTCTAAGCCACTGAAGAACGTGGATTATTTAGCCCATGGTCTTCTGGTTTGTACAGGTAAGACTGCAGAATAACAGGCAGTGTGGTGGGGGCATGCTGCCTGCATGATGCAAAAATGTCCATGCTGGTGTAGCTGAATTGACTAGAATCACACAACTGCTCACCACCTCCTGTAATTAAACTAATGAAACCTGTGCAAGGGAGGCTGGCTGAATTTAAACTTCCCCCATAATCTTTGTGTTTAGTGTTTTGACTGAGTGTTCTATAGGAAACACTAGCAACAAGGGCTTGGCTAACATACTGATACATGTGGGTGTTTTGACTTGAATTTGCAAAGAAATGGCTTTAGTAGTTGAAGGTGTTATATGTCTGCTGTCCTTTCTTCCTGCATTACCAGCAGCCCAGAATATGTGCCTGTGAAGCAGCAAGTTCAAGTCAGGGCTGGAAAGGTACTAGCAAAGAGAGGCTTGCACTAGTTGAAGCTAACACACTTGCATGAGGTTGCTGGAACTAGGGGCAGCGTGCTGGTTTGCTCCTTTATGAGAAATGAGCTTTAGGCAAATGGGGTGACAGTGCTTTAAGCTGCTGCCACAGCACGGTCTGTGCTTGCCAGTCAGGCCTTTCTTTGCCTTATTAATCCTCAGGAGAGTTTGGTTTGGATTCCAGCTGAATCATAATCTACTAGTTTCTAAAGAGCATTCAGAATGGCATTTAGCAGGAGCTCCTGGAGTGGTAATACAAACCTGCAGTGCCCTGCCTTTGGTCTCGATGGGCAGTGTGAACGCAGAGATTGCACAGACGATGCACACAGATGAGAAAAGACACAGGGCCCCAAGGAAAGAAGCATTTATAAGAACCTGCAGGCAAAAACCAGTTCAAACATCAGCTCAGTGGTATGGGGGGCTAGCGGGTAGGAATTAAAAGAGTGGGCAAAGGTTTGGAAGCACCTGAAAGATGTGACGAAAGGGAAAA